AATAAAGACTATGCAATTTGGCAGCTGCTTCAATACTACAGTTTTAGTGCCACACATGTTTATCAACCTCATTCAACAAGTGTATGAAGACGCCACATGCCAAGTGATTCACAATGGAAAGCTGAGTGATGCCTTTGAAGTGAAGACAGGGAACAGGAGTAAGACAAAGGTGTCTACTATCACCGATGATCTTGCTGATTGTGGTTGACTGCAATGGACTGGATCATGTGACAGACAGTTGTGAGTAGCGAGAAGAGGAGGATACTCTGGAGTGGGTAAAAGATCCTATAATATTTGGATTTCGTCGCCGATGATGAGTTATGTCCAGTGTCTTGTCTCACAAACTCGAAGATCCACATGCAGATGCAGCGAAGACGGGACTTCAGGTGAATGCAGAAAAGATGGAGGTGATGAAGATACCCAATCAACGACAACAACAAGAAGAAGAAGAGGCACCAATGACCATGAACGGGAGAAACTTAAAGGAAGTAGTCTCTTTCACCTACCTCGCTACCTAGGCAGCACTGTCTCAACTACAGGTGGCGGTGGCACAGATGAGGACGTGAAAGCCAGCCAGGATCGGAAAGACAACAAGACAGGCGTTCAATAACCCGAATTCATTGTGGAGATCTACTGCACCACACTGCACTCAGTATAAAGGGTGAACAAGATCCGGATTTTCAACACCAATGTGAAGTAAGTCAGTGCTTCTATGTGATGGTTTAGAAAGTTGGCGCGTTACGAAAGGCATTTCCAACAAATTACAGGCGTTCATCAACAGCTGCCTACACCAGCTGGATACTGAAGATCAGATGGGCAGAATAATAAGAATAAGCAAGAAGGAACTCTGGCTGGCTGGCTGGCTGGCTGGCTGGCAACGAACCAACGAAGCAAGAAGCTATCACTCAACAGATATGCAGAAGGAAGTGAAGATGGATTGGACTGGGCATGCACTGAGAAGACCGACTTGGGACATCGTGCACCAAGCCATGCACTCGAGTGGAACTCAGATGGGAAGCGACTAGTTGGGCGTCCGATATGAGAGTGACATGGAGGATATCGTGTGAGGAAGAAATGAGAGCATGTGGGCAGTGGTGGATCCAGGTTCAAAAGATTTCAGAGAACAGAGTGCACTGGAGACGCGCTACTGAAGCCTTATGTTTCCTCTAGGAACCCAAGGGACAAATAGTAATAATAACGACGGTTGAGATGTCGATAGCAGTTCTAGCTTGAACAGGAACTCGATCGGAATATCTTCATCCTGAAATGTAAATACCACTCCGCAATTTGAAAGGTAAAACACAACCGTTACTGTGTACAACTTTGAAATGACTAACATTTTCTACAAGTTATTCGCACAGAAAGCCATGATGAATTGAAAATATTCCAAGTTGGCAATTTTCCGAGATCCCTAAGGAATCGACAGATTATCTACACTAAGATCAAACTGGCCATCAGTTATTTCAGATTTCCACAAAATAAGAGCATTTTTGTGCAAGCTGAACAGGAAAGGAAGCCAAAAAGCTCCAACCCTAAATCACTTGGTTTTGCAAGTGTCTAGTAGCACTGCGGTACTATATAATTAACTTTTCCTATTCCAATCAGCAGTATGTAGTGGATAATATTTTATACTTTTTTGGCTCCATTTTATTTTCAATACTTTACTGACAAAAATGAGAACATTCGCAGACTGCGATCATTGTGTTAGTTACTTAACTTTTGTACAATGACAGGCACATAACACAAAAAAAATAAGTGAAGTTAATTTAACCTGATGTATGTTTCTATTCAGTCAGAAAATATTACCTGTACATTCATTATCGGCTGACAGACCAACATTACTACACAGATTTTCTTCATATTATCAATAAAGAGAAAGCTATGGATAAATAAGGAAGTCAGGAGAATCTGCGTAAACTTTGCGTCGGTTAGAAAAGATAGTTACGTGCTCTCGGTTTACCCTAAGTATTCGTAGACAGTGGTTTGAGTGAATACCAATTTACAACAGACGATTCCTGAGCATACTTTTCCCCATAGGTTTAAATTAGACTAAGCGTAAAAGAACAATATTTTCTTTGCTTGAAATGTATACTCCTATAAAAAGACAATGAAACCAACGCACCTACAGGTTGAATGAAACCAGCCAGCTTTTGGCATATTATGTGGTCTATATAGTATCTTTGTTTTGTAAGGTCCCAGTTTGCATAAAACAATGTTATCGATCTGAACATTTTTAACTTGGTATTTTCACACCATTTTTGCGGTATGACTAGTAGTCTATTTTCTGCCCCCATTGTAATGTAATTCGCTGATTGGTTAACCTTAACTCTTACTATTCCAATGTCTCCGGACAAGGACATACATCATGTGTATACATATTAGTGTTTTTGGATTGGTTGAGTATCATATTCTCGGACGAATAAGCTCTCCCATCACCCAGTTTCGGTCTTCTCTCCATTCGTCCCGGGTTACAGTCGGTGGCTCTTGCGTACGAAGTTAGCTGTCAGTTAAGCGTGCGTACTATATCCGTTCGGAATACATGACAGTTGGCGACGGAAGACATAACACTTTACATAAATTGTTTTCGGAGACTGGTAGAAGGTAGTAGTAGTAGTAGTAGTAGTAGTAGTAAAATACTGGCTTTCATCCCTTTTTAGAAATCGGATACATTGTAACGGAATTTCAGAAAAGATGCAGTGGTGTATTCTACAAATGGCTTGACGGTCCCAGACATTATTAAATATGGCTCAGAACAGAAACTGATCGTACTGTAGCTTACTAGTTTTCCCTGCTATCAAAGGGAAACTTCAGTACGAACCAGTCGCGTTGAAGTATTCACAGATCAATCAGAATCAAGTATATGTAGGACGACGAATTTATAAAGCAAAATGGTGCTTTATATAACAATTTATAAATCTATTTCAAATGAGATATCTGGATTTTCAAGACGTTTTGTATTGCCACTGATCCATATGAGACCATATCACATCCCCTGGTGGTCTTGTTAAAAATCTTAAAAGCTTTCGAAGACGACTTCATGTATTCTCAACGTTGAGTTCACTACAGTTGTCAAATCAATGAGTTGCTTTTTCTGAATAGTAGCGTGATGGAGGGTAACCCATTTCAGGTAACGACATGTACGGCTTCCTAGCATCTGTGTATATTATGGTACCTGATGAATATCCATCTCCTTATAACTAGTAGGATAGATTTTCCTGATTTATCCTTTATCCACTGAAAGTGTCCTTCATTTTTCGGTCGTATATACCGAGAATCTGTGATTTGCCAGGACAAAAGTATGCAACATATTCAGTTCCGTTTAAGTCATCTTCTTAGGTTATATCTAAGTTTACGAACAAGACATTCATCCATTTCAAACACATTACCTAGCCCACTAAGCTTCACATCCAACCTGCATATTATTGCGAAGTAATTATCCCTGAAACGCCGATACTACTGCACTGAAGAAACTTCACTAACATCTGTCAGAGATCCAGATGATAGTACACGTGTCCAAACAACACAATGTAGCACTAAAATCATAATTTGCTGGAGAGTTAGATGAGTTTTTTTTAAAGCGATCCTGTTATCAAATATTTCTTCTTATAATAGCTGGGACAACAAAAGATGAAACTATCCCCTTTGAGTGACTTTGAAGACCACTCTAGTAGCGGTCATAATAACCAATTGGGTTTCTCCATTTCAGCTGAAAAGTCAGATTTTCACACAATAGAGAAGTCTAGTTGGTTATTTCAATTGTTGCAAGGGTGGCCTTTAAATTCACTCATCTCTTTTTCCGTTGTTAGGTACACAATCCGTCGCAAAACCACTTCTCGCAAGCATCCAACTCTCTGCAAATGATGCACAGCGTAATTTTCGTTACAGCTTACCAAAAATTTACGCAGTCGACACGGTAAACGGACGAAACAAATAACCTTGGGTACGGCATCTGTGAAATGAATGGTCGTCCTCTAGGTTTGTCGTTACTAAAGCTTAGTTCTACTCGAACAAACAAAAGTACAGGACACTTATCTGAATGCACATCATCAGACTGCTTTTTTGATCATTCATGGTGATTTCGTTTTATGTTCTGTGATATAATTATTGCGCCAAGTGGTGTATCACGTCTGTGTTTTAAAATATTCTCCGAGTATGATGTCTTACAATAGTAAGGAAAATCAGAGGTTCATTCGCAGCCAACGCTTTATTAAGTGAGTCAACAGAGTGTTGTGGTCACGAATCGTTCGAACTGTTGGTCGACTGAACTGCTTTCCTAAGCATTATCTATATTTCATTGGAATATCATCTTAAATCTATATGTGAATGACAGACAGGATATTGGAAGGTGTATTAGTAATGACTACTTAAGAATTCAGTGTTGGTGAAGTAAAGATCACAATCCAGGCATGCTGACAGTGGTTCAACATGACTCCAGCGAAGGTGACTAACAAATCGTCATCGACAGCCTTAAATGAGTTTACCAAATGCCTCACGATCTTAACTGCATCTTCAGGTTCCCGAATTGCTAACAATTCGATTGGGGTTTAATATATATATATAAACACTCATTCACATTTATGCAAACATACTTCGTACATGTCCTTACCAAAACACATATTTCAGTAGTTAAATGGCGTAAACACCGGTGATTCATGATAAGAATTTTCGGATGGTGATGATTTGTAGGGCGCAGCTTACCTATAATATCTTGATCCTGACGATTAATACAGAATAAACAGAGTCTGCGTCTTGCTATGGTCAAAACACGGTTAACTTGGTTGAAAGCCTTATTGGTTTCTTGAGTCGAAAAGTAATAGGCTGAATGGAATAGTCAATTAAAAAAACGGAAATTTATTCACATAAGGCAAGATGCATACTGAACAGCAGTAACGGCAAAATAGCATTTGTAACTCGAATCATATTCAAGTATATAAGAAAGGGAGCAAAGTGAAGCGATTGGGTTTTATTCAGAAAAGAAATTTGATTGGTTGATCATTGGTCTAACCATTAGTCATAATTAATATAATCTTTGACCTGACATTTCTAGGGACAGGACATTTCAAAAATGTGTTATTCAGCATATTTAAGAAAGCGCACTCAGATATATTACCTAAATCAGTTACTGGAATTCAAAAAATTGAAAAAGAGAGTCAAATCAACGGATAAAATTCAATATAATTAAATCCCTTTGGAGTAAAAATAGTCATTCGTGGGTCTGTAATTGCTTCCACTGTATCCAACAATGAAGAGAATATCTAGTATGACAGATAAACGAAAGCAGGTGACAATTAGCAGAATACTTCTGAGCAACTTATATCTTTAAAACAAAAGTAGTCATGATCTATACAGGTTTATTAGGCATGCAAATATTCACATGTAAAAATATTTACAACCACTGTAGTCATCATCATCACGACCGAGTACCTGAAAATTCTCTTAACCACTTTAAACGATGACCACGACGTCTGATAGCAAATGGAACAAGTGGTGGTGTTCTAACTGAAATACCCATAGCTCCTGGAGTCCATGCTGACAGTAAAACACTATTACCGGACATATTATTCTCGTCTGTGATGCAGGTTTTGTTGCATAGTTCTTCGAGATTTTCTTCCTGTGAGGACTGTTTATCTTCTTTGGATAACGCAGCTATACTGACCCATCCTAAGGTAGAAAATAAATGTAGACAAAAATAAACGAATAATACTTTAGTTAACGCATGAAAATGCGAACGTTACAACGTACAAAAGTAAAAGCAACTCCGAAATCTCAAAGAGAAATTTAATCCAACAAATGTAAATTAGGCATCAGTGCGTACTGATAAGTTACTATACTTAAGCAGCTAGTATTATTTCCCTTATAAGTTTTACAGGAATCGATTGATTTCAAAGTACTTTCCATCATTGATTGATGTCGCCTGGAGGTACTCAACGACTGCATTTTCCTAGTTTGGGATTCCTCAGCAGTGCACATCCACCATCCTATGAATGAAATCCATGACCGTGAGGTCTGGTGTTACCACTCAGCCACTGGATTGCAATTCAACACATCAGTTTTACCGATTTCCGTCAATTTGGGATACAGCACAACCATCTATCCTCACTCACGTGTTGCTTGACCCTACATATCATAGGCTGCTCCCCAGAACCCCGAGGAAACCTTTCTCAATAACGTGCACTGAATTTTATTTCAATTAACAGTTTTGTGGGAAACAAGATAAATTACAAAAGGATGAGTAAGAGATTACAATAAAGACAGTCGAGCATTATTAGATAACTCAGAGTAATCAGCAGTAAACTTTACATAATAAGAAATAGGAGCAAACTACTATTAATGGATAAATGTAAAATGTTTTGGGAGTTACGATTTGTCTGCATTGCAGATTAGGTCAGTGTTTAAAAGTAGTATGACCTTGAGAATAGAAGTAGCATTCCCACTGGGAACACCTAATTATCCAAATACATGGAGAAAATGATCATCAAAATACTGTATCACTGAACAGTCATATTTTTTTTTCATGTAGTTTTACGAGGAACTCCCATCATCTGAGAGTACAACAAGCAAACTGAACAACAGATTCTTCACGTAAATTGTGTCAACAAAAGATGGTAGAAGCAATGAACAGATAAACTCAATGACAATAAATAACTAATTTCAGTGTCGAAGATCACAACCTGTTACATAACCGCCTATCATCATTGGAGGAGCACAGATGATCTATGGTGTTGGAAAGTTATCCTAGATAGTCAAACCAACAAAAACTTGAGAAATAAGAGAAACACTTCGTTGGGTTCTGTACAGTCGAGAATACTCGATAACCTATGGTCATCATAGACGTATGACCTACAGCTTTGCACACCGTCACATTTATTAAAAGTCAAACTAGTGATACGCTTTAGGAAAATACAAATAGGCTGTTAAAGTGGGTGGAGATTTTTGGGCAATCTAATCACCTTCACACTAACCCTCAATGACTATGTGTTATCTGAAGGTCAGATTATCTTTATTTTACCCTGACCACTGTTTTCTTTAATATATGCTCTTTAGGCTGAACGATTGTCGGACAGTAAATATATAGTTAGTTTAATTCATACTTGAGAAAGCGATACAATTCCATATGGATGCATTTTTATGGCTCCCAACCAGACAACAAGCACATAAGAACAAAATAAAGCAGAAAAAAACTGAAAACATCGACACTCACTCCAATCTAGCTATGATCAGAGTGAAAACTCAAGAGTTTATCGAGCTAAAGTTGGAATTCCGAAGAAGTTTAAAAATCTTTAGAATAAAAAAGGTTGAAAATTACTAAGTTTTCTGACATTTCAGGTGAATTTTTCGGGAAATAACAGTGTTTTCCAACAAGACAGCGGTTTACTCATTTGACACTCATACAATTGGGCCTTATGACAGCCAACAGAGTAAAATCAGCGATACCAAGTGGTGAGCGAAGTTTTTAAATCGGCCGAACCAGTTAAGTATGCAGTTAACTTGGACATAATTGGAGTGAAACTCAATTCTACACGTAACTTACAGTGAGGAAATTGATAAAGGATAAATAGTATGTATAGAATTACTGTAGACATTAAGCTCACCTGCTCCAGATAAAACCACATCTATGTTGGATTGACCTAAGTTAGCCACTGTCTCTATAGGATCTAGATTTTTTGATTTCATAGGTGGTAGTACTCCACATGGTCCAGGATTATTATTATTACTATGAGAAGAATCAACAACAGGAGGGAGGAATTCATTGAACTGACGTTTATATTCATCTACCTCTTGTATCGGTACAATATGAATCGGAAGATGAGAAAAAGTAGTAAAGTAAACGGAACCTGGAGCCTAAAATTCATTCGAAAGAAGAAATACATGAAATACAATTCATGACTATTATCAGAGAAATCATTGATTATTTACTCGTATTTTTTTGATCATTTTCATTAAAGAAACAAGAAAAGGATTGATAGGATGAACTGAGCTCATATTTATTCGCAGATTTTCCTCAGGTGCAAGCAGCCTAGAATAAATGCAGAGCTAGTGTGTGATAAAATAGGAAACATAATTGGGAAATATAGATAAAACAAACAAAATCAACTGAAGAATGTTTGCAGTGGGGATAATGCTGAAAATGTTTGGTTATTTTTAGCTATTTGATAGGAAGATCTTACAGTTTTAACAGCGGATCTAAGCAATAGTAAATCAGTCACTGTTATAATAGTAGGATAATTACCATAACAACAGATCAATGACACAGACTGATTGTTTTTGAACACAAGTCAGGCAGTAGTTATAGGCAATGGTAGACACGTACACTTATCATGGTTGCCAGAGTGGCAAAGTCGGCAGTCAGTAAAAATATAGCGGAGAATACATACATATATATACATCCTTTTTCTTAAAAACTCTGTGACATGGCTTTGTAGAGATCTCTCTCTTTTCAATTTACAGAGATTGATGGTATAATCCTGCTGGGTGAAGATGTAGACAAAATGCCAAGTTTTCTGGACACATCAGAATGTTCGGAACTAACTTTCTAGGTCGATACCTCATGTGGCGACAGTTGTGGCTCATTGGTTTAGAGAGTTGACTTTCAACCAGTGAGTTAAGGGTTTGAACACCGTTCCACCTATCGAGGTTTCGGTAGCCAAGTAGTATTATTAACTTTCGCAGAATAGGTATGGATTTGACCAAAGGTTGTGGTTGAGGATGCTGATCACTTCACCTTTCTGGGAAGTTGCATCAACCCTGACGAATTGGTGGCCGAAGTGATCCCAGAATGGACGCATAAGACTTTACTAGATTCTTTAGGCTTACGTTATCTATGGCACCGGCGAGATATTTAATTACCTACTAAGCGCCAAGTGTACTACCCAGCAATTCTTCTATCCAACTCTGTGATTGTGAAACTTCACCATTAAAGATGGAGAGCATAAGAGGGCCCCATGTGTTACACCACCACTGTTTGCATAGCATCGGTTGCACGCCACGGAACCATCATGACCAGAAAATAAAACAGAGTACAGTCTCAGATAAAATAAATAAGTCATCTCATGAGGTTGTAAGCCTACATCGATCCAGATGGCATGTACAACACACTGACACCATGTGCTCTAACACACCACTTTAACTGAGGTGGGGTTAGGTTCGAAAAAGTCTGTAACTAATGAACAACAAGAATAGCTAGAAACCACTCACGCTTATTGACAGATGTGATTAGTCAGATCAAAGTGATATAGATACCCCGTACACCGGTTCCTCCAAATCACCCAGCCCGACACAGTTAGTCCGAAAGATTCGGCTCTGACAGCTGAATTTTTAATGGTATATCGCTGATGAATTTAGCTTCAAACAAACGAAACGGCAATCCAATATTCATTTCACTCCGACCTGGTTAGAGAAATATGCAGATCAGTGTGCTTGGTTTCTAACTAATCATGGTATACAGTAGTTGATTTCGATAGTTCACGACGTTTTTGCGTCAGATATCATATCTTGTGATTTCATTTGGATTGTTTCCGACAGAAAGCCCACAGTTAGGTAGTTGGGAAACTACTCAGTTATGAGAAGTGTCAACGTGGACCGCGCAGTTTGAAAGTGATTTGCAAATTGATAATCGTCCTTAAGGTTGTGTGTTCGACGTAAAACACGCAATCAATACATGAAATTGCTGAGTGTATGCCTTAACCATGTAGAATTTTATCTCCAGTTCGACAGATAATCAAAATTGATGATTGAAGACTGGGAGCATGGCTCAAGACAGTTAGCAATGGAGAAGATGCATACTCAACTTACCTTAATCTTCGTGTCGAATTTGTTTTGTCTTTATTTCTCTGCATTCTACGGTTTATAATTGTATTATTTTGATTTCCTTATGTTGAGTCTTGCTGCCTTATATCTTGATGTGGTGGCAACTTAGACTGTGAGGGAGGAATTCCGAATCGTATGTCTTTCTGCATATCAACTCATTTTTTTCAAAAAAGTTCTATTTTTCAGTTAGATTTGTCAATCACAATTTTACTATGCAAAGAATTAATTTACGTAAAATGATTTCGGTTTAATTAGATGTAACCATTAATCAGACATATAGATTACTACCTATATGCTGAACTCTACTTATAAGAATATGTATCAGTAGTATATAAGGAGACATTGGGAAATACAAGTAATGGCAATCGACTGGGATGAATACAGTGTCGAGTAGCAGTATAAAGAGAGAAAGCACCATACATTGGGATACCAGACAGGAGAATGTCAGCGATTATGACTTTATTGTAAAATTCAGGATTTGGACCATCAGCGGTTGTAATTTTCAAACAAACAATCTCTGATGTTCAACTGAACTTCTCTTCACTATCAATGAGAAACTTTTGAATTCATTCTCTACCTAGACTTTCAAACTTCATATCCTATGCAATTTCAATTCATTTATCGAACTTTTATCCTCTTACTTTATCTTTCTGACACACACGCATCAGAGATTCTATGTTGGCCTACTCAACCAGTTAATGAAGAGTGACCATACAACGAAGCTTTGTGCAGATTTTTCAAATTCAGTGAGCAAGACAATACACTTTATGAAGTTAGATTGTTGAGGTACAATTTCATATTGATAATTAAATGAAGTATTCAAACATCACACATGTTTTATATAGAGGAAAAAATATGCAACTAGAAATCATAATGAGACATAAGTACCAACCTTTAATACATCTAGACGGGCAAGCGATCCTATTAAAAGACACAGACCTGGTTGCATAACAAATGTTCGCGGAATTAGAACTCTATTTTTCATGCCATTCGGTAAATGAAAAACACCTGTCCCTTTTGATTTGTACTTGTCCATAAAATGTAACAGATTTGATGGAAGGTAGTTCAGAATCTGTAAGACGTAAATGACAAACAAAGCAGTAATTAATAGCCATAGAGATTATACTGATTAGCAAGTAAACACATTATTATAATCTGTGAAGAAAAGTAATCACTTAAGAATGCAATAAGATTAGATGAGGCCAAATCATATTCACTCAGAGGTTTGTATTGGTTTGGAACAGAAGATAGTTTACAAAAATAGAATTGGAAAGTTATTCAATTTCAGTTTTGGAGTGATGTGTGTAAACGCTTAAACGCTTACTGGACTGAGGTTCCCAATTTCATGGCAAGCATGCTTTTATTAGGCTGCATAGACAAATCTATCAAATAAGCAATCCCATGTACTTATTCTCTTCACTAGAAAAGCATTTGAATTGTGTAAAACCTATTTAAGAAAAAGAGAGTCTAAATTTGGCATAATGCTGCTAAACTTAAAGTCAAGTAATTATTAGGGTTTAATTTATCGTGAATGAAATATAGTTCAAAGTACCTGATAATGTGGACAGTAAACATATTCTTTGTGTAATTATGTAGTTTTCAAGCACACAAAATAATCAGTAGCTCATAGACAAGTTGATAGAAACTAACGGCAAAAATGAACACTAATAATTTCTAAAAAAGTTCTGGTTTGATTAACGTAAGTGTAAAACTTGGGCACTGTGGTAGAACTTAATTCCGTATCAGACTCGTTAATTTGATTTATAATACACAGTGATACAGTATTATATGCTTGATGACGTTCCAAACATAAATTATTCCTCATAATCATATCAATGTGATCACACTACTTCCAACATGCGATTTTTATAGTCCTATCACCTCATATTCTTTGTTTGTATTGGCAGTAAAATTCTCCATATCTCTGGTATAGGTGTTGCCTCGATCCTATTACATGTGTTGGGTGTTGATTCAATGAACAAAGATTCAGTAATCAATCTCTCTTCGTCTCCACCCAATTAGATCGGACCTAATTACAATGGTTTTATCCCACCCACCCTATTGTGTGGTTGTGTGTTGATGCATGCAATGCAATAACCGAGTTTTCTCTAGATTATTGATCTTATTTGGGTCTGTCACTCTACATTTAGTTAAATTCCTATGTTCCGCTAATCTAACTGACTTGGGTTGACTAACTGGTTTGGATACTAAAGTCTACAGAAAACCAACACATTCCAACAAGTATCCAGACTTCAAGTCATCTCATCTAATGTCACCTAAGGCAGCCTTAGTCAAATGCCTAAATGATACAGCTAGAAAACTGGCTAATCAGTGCAAGGACCTAAACAAGGAACAGAAGCACGTAGAAGAAACACTAATAGTTAATAATTACCCTCCGCAGTTAATTCAGAAATTCGTACAAACACGCAAGAAATGAAATAATAAAAGTAACACGAGTATGAATAATAACGACAACGCGAATAGAAAGGAATTCACAGCCTTCATTGTGTCACCCTATAAGAAAGGTACATCAGAAACTCTATGTAGGATTCTCAATAAGGGTGGAATCAGAGTGGCATTTAAACGTACAAACTCATTCAGAGACAAGCTTTGTCGGCTGGCTTAAGGATCCGATAGAACAAATTAAGCAAAATAATCTAATCTATCAAACCCCATATAATGACTGTGAGGTAAAGTACATAGGTCAGACTAGACTGTCGGGATCAGTTAGAATAGCGGAATTTAGCTAACTAAATGTAGAATGACAGACCCAAATAAGATCAATAATCTAGAGAAAACTCGGTTATTGCATTGCATGCATCAACACACAACCACACAATAGGGTGGGTGGGATAAAACCATTGTAATTAGGTCCGATCTAATTGGGTGGAGACGAAGAGAGATTGATTACTGAATCTTTGTTCATTGAATCAACACCCAACACATGTAATAGGATCGAGGCAACACCTATACCAGAGATATGGAGAATTTTACTGCCAATACAAACAAAGAATATGAGGTGATAGGACTATAAAAATCGCATGTTGGAAGTAGTGTGATCACATTGATATGATTATGAGGAATAATTTATGTTTGGAACGTCATCAAGCATATAATACTGTATCACTGTGTATTATAAATCAAATTAACAAATCTAATATGGAGTTCTGGTTCGGTATCTTCTGTACTTATTTCAGTTCGGTCGACCATAAGTCAATATAAACGTTAACATTGAGATTGAAGAAGCTAAGCGAACAAGATAGACTAATCGATTTATGATAAATCCGACGCTTACGTATATACTATTCTTTCAGGTCACTACGTTCCTTTAATGAAAGTTGGGTTGTGATAAAGATTTCCACTTGGTTAGTTTTCATTTCATTTAGTCGGATAAGCCATCCAAAATTGATTTTTAAAAAGTGAAATACAAAACGCCAAGCACTGTATAAAATAAACTCCTATTTCGTTATAACAGTTATTTAGCAGATTTTTAACCCACTAGTATATCAATTGCCTAGTTGGAAAACAATACGCAAAAACAAAATGTGAAAATAATTCGAAAATATGGGAATATAGCAAAAAAGGTGGATAAAGCCGAAAAGGAATATGTTCAATTTTCAGAGCAAGATGAATAATAATGTGATATGGCTATAACCGAATTTGATTACCGCCTCTCAGTTACATCCGGTTGGAAGAGGGTTCAGAGTGATCCAACTAAGACGTGGTACCAGTCCATAAAGTCTCTGACAGTTGATCTGAGCCGTATGAGAAGTCGACTACCTAGAGAGACGATAGAAATCAGAAGTTGAAGGCTCTAGGTGACATGACTGAAAGTCGGTTTCAGTGGCTCAGATGTATTTCACTCTCCAACACCTAAAGCCTGAATATTTACACTAACCGTTATCTTCAAATCATTTATTTTCTCATACAATTTTGTCAACCTTGATATCACGTTTTTTCTGTCCACTTGTTCTTCGTGTACTACATTGAAGTGTGACAACTTTAACCGATGGACTTATGTGTGAGGTTCTACGTTGATTTCGTCTATCCACTTGTCCAAATACTGTCTATTTACATCTTGAGGCTATGGTTCAGTGAATAAGACAAATTATACTTTCGACTAATGAGTCATACTTTAGAACCAAAGTTTCCTCACATTAAGTGTAGCTGACTACATAGTAATTGAAATAGCAAACTATTATTGAGTTGTATTATTCAGTCAAAGACGCCAGATAGTCAGTTCATTTACTTAACCAAAGTTTGCAACTTTATCCATCGTCTTAAACTCTTGGTTCGGAAGTTAAGAAGCTTTTCTCAGTCAATATGGCAATGTAACGCAAACAATTTCTAGATATGTACAGCACATACGCAAGTCACTTTGATCGATGGAGTTCATAACTCCATCAACTGGTCTGTTTTAATTAAAACGTTCCATAGAACATTGACATCGCCCATTCAATAACTTTTTATCTTATCATCTTGTTTCAGCTGTCAACTGTCTCAGATATATGAAAGAATGAGTTGTAAAAGTGACGAACAATGAAAAATAAGGTGAAAACAATTACAGGTTGGTTAATAAACAGATTGAAGCCATTAATCGGTTTACGTTATGTCCTAAATCATACCATCACGTTCCTATGGTTTACCAAAAGTTTATAAACCAGGTGTCTGTTTAAAACCTATAGTGAAGTCTATGAATTCTGCAACATATTTCCCCACCAAAATATCTCACATCTACGTTGAAGCCTTTCCATCATCATCAAGATCAACATAGGACCAGGCATTAGTGTGTAGCAGTTCAGGTTGGCACACCTCATATCAGCACATGAAGTAACTACGCCATAAAATGGAAGATGAAGAAGAAAAGAAAAATCGATCAAAGGAAGTAGAATGTAGTAGAAGAGAAGGAAGAATGTTGCTATGTTTTAATTTGGTTATTCCAAGCCCTTTTTCAGCCTGAAACTACTTCGATCAACACTGTGCGACGAGTCAGATAGTGGTTAGCCTCTCAAAAGTTCGGATGTCAGTTTAATCAAAGATTCTTATGGTTTTAATCCAAAATATCGCGACTGACGATTGACAGAATGAAACCATAATAAGCTATGATGTTGTGTATACGAGTGTTTTCATTGAAAGATGCTTTGATTTTATAGTTAACTTGTTACAGGGTGATCATATGCTGTCAAGTAGATCTCATTATAAGAGCAATTAAACAACTTTGGTTGATTTCGACATGTCCAGAAGAGGATTATCTAAACAGTCAAGCACAATAGCAATGGATTTTCTCATGTTCCCTATCGTTTCAAATCTATTCACATCTAATGTTGAATCGATGATTTGTACCAGCTCTAATAAATAACTCATTTGCTTGAGATACGAGGGATTTTTCGAAGCTAAGAAGTAATCATTCTTCATACATATCAAACTTAACAGTTAATAGGAAAATGAAAGTGGTGAACTACCGTTTTTAAAATGCTCAATCAGAAGGGATGGAAATAAAAGCCTATGTTTATCGATTTATCGTAAACCAACACATTCAACTCAATATCTTGATTTTAATTCAGCACATCCACTCACTTGCTCCAGAGTTATTCAGAAAGATCCACAAAGTTCGTCAAGAATTAGGGAGATAGATAAACGTAAGTAAAGAATGCAATACATATTTTTGTATTCCAATAATATAAATGAGTATAAAAAATCCAAAAGAAAAATCAACTGATGAATCCTGAATTGATACACTTTTTACTAAAACACAACTGAAGAAATAAAAGGAACTTGAAGAAAATTTTGAATTATTCCCCTCTACAAGGAAACCAACACATAAGAATGATTCAGTTCAAATAAAGACAGAATTCCATCTAACATCACACAAAATTGTGACTACAGGTTAAAGTCTATCAACTATGATGTCTATTACACTAAGGAATCATCCTAAGAACTCCTCATTCGTATCAAAGAGTATGCAAGCTACATAAAAAGACCACCAAATAATCCTTGATACCTGGAGAGCATACAAATTATTAAATCAGCAGTTGCTGTTAATGTTGTCTGTAGTAGCTACAAAATTGACATTGAAAACACTAAAATTACTTTGAAAAGGATTTTTAAATTAAAAGGAAAGACAAATAACTGAGGCATTTCATATTATATTGAATTCTAATGCATTTAACAGAAAGGAAAGCCTAACTATCCAAGCAACTTGGAAAGTATTTCCATGACAACCCGTACACACTAATCATTACTAATGTGAATTCACCTGTCATTTATTTTACTTTCCGGACACTTATTCACACCTCACTTTGAGTTGACGCACTAGTAATAGGTAGTAATAACATTGTTATTCTCGTGCGCACATATGAACAACGTGATCTTATTTGTTTCTATTTAAACAGGTAATAACTTGTACTGAATACGATATATCTTGAAGATGTTCTAAGAAACAAACAATTTTATTCGGTAAAGTGAATGGTTGGAAGTATTGGAGAATAAAATATTCCCAGCATATTCCCAAACTTACAGGCTATATGCAGTTCGTCTTGTCATGTTACTTAACTAGTTGGCTGAAATTTAACCACGATTATCACATGGTGAGTGTTGGTATCTTATTCAGAGAGTATGATTAGATGGCTGGAGACCTAGATGACAATTAAGCAGAACACTTCTCAGTATTCTCTCGTCCTTCTGGGAATAAGTAGTAGATATGATGCTTAAACTATGCGTGAAACTTTGGCACTGTGGTAGATTGCGATTACATTTTAGTTTTTTTCTTAGATGTTTCGCACAGTGAAAAAGTATAATTCACTAGATAATGCCAAATACATGCAATAGGAATGATTCAGCAACTCTTCAATATATACGCAAGATTCTACTAACTTTATCACAAAGGAAGAGAGAGAATTAGAACTATATTAGAGATGTTTCAAAGTTGTGGAGTTACCTCAGATGATCATTATTATTTGACCCTTGGGTTCCTAGTGGAACACAGAGCATCAGTAACACATCATCATTACACTCTGGTCTCTACAATCTTTTGAACCTGGATCCACCACTGCCCACATGCTCTCATTTCTTCCTCACATGATATCCTCCATGTCACTCTCATATCGGACGCCCAACTCGTCTCTTCCCATCTGAGTTCCACTCGAGTGCATGGCTTGGTGCATGATGTCCCAAGTCGGTCTTCTCAGTGCATGCCCAGTCCAATCCACCTTCACTTCCTTCTGCATATCTGTTGAGTGATAGCTTCTTGCTTCGTTGGTTCGTTGCCAGCCAGCCAGCCAGCCAGCCAGCCAGCCAGCCAGCCAGCCAGCCAGCCAGCCAGCCAGCCAGCCAGCCAGCCAGCCAGCCAGCCAGCCAGCCAGCCAGCCAGCCAGCCAGCCAGCCAGCCAGCCAGCCAGCCAGCCAGCCAGCCAGCCAGAGTTCCTTCTTGTTTATTCTTATTATTCTGGCCCATCTGATCTTCAGTATCCAGCTGGTGTAGGCAGCTGTTGATGAACGCCTGTAATTTGTTGGAAATGCCTTTCGTAACGCGCCAACTTTCTAAACCATCACATAGAAGCACTGACTTACTTCACATTGGTGTTGAAAATCCGGATCTTGTTCACGCTTTATACTGAGTGCAGTGCAGTGCAGTGCAGTACAGTGCAGTAGATCTCCACAATGGTTTCAGCTTATTGAAAGCCTGTCTTGCTGTCTTTCCCATCCTGGCTGGCTTTCACGTCCTCATCTGTGCCACCGCCACCTGTAGTTGAGACAGTGCTGCCTAGGTAGCGAGGTAGGTGAAAGAGACTACTTCCTTTAGGTTTCTCCCGTTCATGGTCATTGGTGCCTCTTCTTCTTCTTCTTGTTATTGTCGTTGATTGGGTATCTTCATCACCTCCATCTTCTCTGCATTCACCTGAAGTCCTGTCTTCGCTGCATCTGCATGTGGATCTTCGAGTTTGTGAGACAAGACATTGGACATAACTCATCATCGTCGACGAAATCCAAATCTTCTAGGATCTTTTACCCACTCCAGAGTATCCCCTTCTTCTCGCTCCCCACAGTTGTCTGTCACATGACCCAGTCCATTCCAGTCAACCACAATCAGGAAGATCATCGGTGATAGCAGACAGATTTGTCTTACTCCTGTTCCCTGTCTTCACTTCAAAGGCATCACTCAGCTTTCCATTGTGAATCACTTGGCATGTGGCGTCTTCATACAGTTGTTGAATGAGGTTGATAAACATGTGTGGCACTAAAAGCGTAATGTTGAAGCAGCTACCTGCCAAACCACTTGCCAGTCGACTCTATCGAAGGCCTTTTCAAAGTCGATGAAGTTGAGGTAGAGATCCAGTTGACTGCCATTCTATGCTCTCTTCTATCATGATGCATAGCGTAGTATAGCGTCGCAATTTCGTCCGCACATGATTTGTACTTCCAGAAGCCAGCCAACCTGTTCCGATCGTGGTTTTGAATCCAGTGCATTCTTTAGTCTCTCCAGGATAATGCAGCTAGATATTTTGCTTGGTGTGGACAGGAGCATGATTCCGCACCAGTTCTTGCAAACACTTGGCCCTCCCTTCTTTGGAGGTTTGACAAGGTAGCCCTTCTTCTGATCAATACACAGGTACCTTTCCTTTTTTCCTTCCTTCCTTGCAAACCTTCTGCAGTAGTGGTATGAGAATGTCCGCTGAAGTCTCTGTGTCTGTTCTCCGTGCTTCTCGTAGGATTCCATCTGGTCCTCCTGCCTTCCCACATTTCAACAACTTCATGGCGTTCACCACTTCGACTTTCGTCGGAGCATTTGTATTCACTTGTAGTTTTGTGGCTAGGCTGCTGGTGGCATTTCTGAATGAGTTGCAGATAGCGATGGTGGTGGCCGATTCAAGAGGGTTTTCAAGTCGTCAGCTCATCGTTTCCTTTGTTTCTCTTCTTTCGTAATTAAAGTTTTGTCATCATCTTTGATTGGTTTCATCTGTGTTGATCTCTTCCATCTCAAATAATAACCTGGTTATTTGATACAATGTTGTCAGGTCTCTGTCTCTCCTACCTGCAGCCTGTTCTGCTTCACCTACCAGTGTGTCATAGAAGTGTCTTTTGTCTTTGTGCGCACTCTTCTTCTTCACTTCTCTCTCCGGTGTAGTGTTTATAGGTTGTACTCAGTTCCTCTTCTCGTCGTTCATCCTTGCACTGGTTTATCTTCTGCTTCACCATCACCATCTTCCTCTGTTCTATTATCAGCTTGCATGTGTCCATCGAAATCCATTTTTTTATCTTCTTCTTCCTTCCTAATACGGTTATGCAGGTTTATTTCCACATCTCTTTCAAAGAGTTCCAGTGTTCATCCACACAGGTTTTTTCAGGGATGTTGCTCGATATCTTCCATTTTGTTTTGATGGCTGACATGAAGATGTCCCTTGTAGTTTTGTCCTTCAGTTTCTGTTCTGGGTGTTGAATTTGAACTGTGATCTAACGGCTTCCCGAAGGCTTTCACCAACGAGCGTCATTTCGTCTTCCCGATTCCAGCACGGAATAAGTTTGTTTTTATTTGTTATATTTTGTCTGGGCTTTGAAATTTCTGTAGCAGTTCGACTGGTTTTACGGGGTAGGGTTGCTAGCCCTATGCCCAACCTTCCCTCTTTACCTGGGCTTAGGACCGGCTAGTAACTAGTGAACTAATTAACCAGGCGTTTATAGGTAATAGATTATACCCGCAACGTTATCCAGTAATTAATACCGTTTCATGCATTTACAAAATAAACCAAAATGCAATTGATACAATCCTGTTAGTGATGGTTCCAATGGCTGTTACGTTTCTAGTACTCATTTGGCTTATATCCATAACTGAACGTTAACTACCTAGACACTTGATTGTTTTGAAAGCAGTCAGCTGAATAGTGTTAAAGAAATCAAAATTATTATGTGTACATAATATCAACAATTATTTTTCTCATGAAAGGTTAACAGGATAAATCTAATTCAAAGAAAAATCAATGAAAACATCTATCAAGCATACAAGACTCACTTGATCTTCACAAAGCACACCTGGAGTATCATAACACCATGCATGATTATTGAAGTATCGTGGATCCAAAACATTCGTCAACAGTCGAGTACCTTGATCTCCGTCCCATGTAGCATTATCAATAAAAATGTCTCCATGCAAGAACTGGGAAGTTAACTGTTCAAAACCAAATTCGCTAGCTATACAAGCTCCAGAGTTATCAGATTTTATAGTTTCACTGGATTCCCATGTGTATGTTGGTAAATTATTCAAATCTGGAAGTTTTTCACGAGCTTTCTGTACTGCATGGTAGTTTAATGATCGTCTGTCATCAATACCAGAAAGAATTTCCCTAGCTAAAAAAGAGAGATCGAATATACACTGTTAGGTCACTTTTGACTCTAATTTAAAATAAACGAGTTTAAATTATACAAGATATCATTTCTACAGAAATGATGGAAAGTACAGTTAAAAGTTTAGCCCTAAGACTACAAGTATTCGCTCTTAAAGGATCCTTGGATAGTAATGATGGATAGTGGCTAGTAGTGAAATCCAGGATGCGCGTTTCGTCCTACTTGAGACTCGTCAGCTGGATGTACCTGCCTCCGAGTGCGTGATGCTATTCCCTCAGGGATTCGAACTCAGGATCGATCGCTTCAAACACCAGAGTGTTATCCACTAGACGACCGAGCCACGACAGCCACTCCTTATGCGACGAGTATCAGGTACATCCAGCTGATGAGTTCCAAATAGGATGAAATGCGCATCCTGGATTCCACTTCTAGCCACTATCCGTCCTTACTATGTAGAATTAAAACACAGGCAATATCGAGGCATCCGCACAGGAGCTCATATGCCAATAGAAACCGATCAATTCCAACTAATCAACGACGGTATAATACAAGCAGTAATACTGTTCCTCGGATAGTTGATAATGACGACTTATAAAGTGGACTAGTGGGATGAGCATGTGCATACTAGATACTGTACTCAGTTTAGTGAAGCCATTTCGATAACTTGCACTAGTAATTAACACATGTTCTATGCGCCACTTTGGAGGATACTGAGATATTTGACTGGTAAGGGCAGAAGTGAACGAGAGAAGAAAGGTGAACAGAATATAATATAATGCGAAGGAATAATAGTCAGTTGTGCCGTTGATTTGTCTTATGTCATCAAAGGTTGGTGTTAGCTGGAAAACCAGCGAGAACCAAGGAAAGTCTGACATTTCTCCACTATGCTTTAGAACTCCACTGCACCACATCTTTATTATTATTATTTATAATCAATATTAGAAAAAATGTTATATGTACGTTTCACAACTAAATAATAAACTCAAATGAAAAAGAATGATTTGTATTTTGTAACTTAAAAATTCGACAGTGAGTAAAGAGGTTTGAACAATCCTTAGAATTTCTTCCTGATAAAATGGTTGTCAGATATCAGGTTTTGACCGCAATGAACTACCATTCTATCCCATAAAAACAACACCTTTAACTGCTTCTGTCCAGCACGCAAATACAGAGTTGTGTACCATGAGCTATCGTGTGAAATGGTACCTGGTTATGCAAACATCATCAAGTGATCAAGAAGTCGAAAGTCAATAACTCAAGTGAATGAATCACTGATCCAATACTGGTAGGTGAAATTGTAAAAAATTGAGAACTCCAAAAAGTGCTACGACAATAGTGTTTATTGGTCTCTGAGTGTTTGTATTCTACTAACACTGACTTAAAATACTGAGGACTGTGACAGGGAAGAACTGAGAATAAAAAGAGATTAGAAAAGTATTGGAAGATTTCTTCTACATTTTTATTACTCTTTACAAGCATAGTAAATCGTAAAAATTGGAATGATGCCAGTGCAAATGATGGTCATGTCCCTCATAACAGAATAGTATGATACAAACTATAAAAATATACGACATCATTTATATGAGAAAATAGACACAATATTTGTGATTAGTCTATGAAGAGGTAACTTACGCTTCAAATATCGAAAACCATAAGATGGATTAGATTGCTTTTTTAAGATAGACTTTTGATAGGTTTCTTCACTACGTGCCTGTACTCGTTGACCTCGTTTAGCTGAATTCATTAGTGTTAACGGGAAACTAAGAAGACCAGATGTAGTACCTGAATCATAAGAAATGAGGCGAAGTCAACAATAAATCAATAGAATTTATAATTTCGTAACCCCAGACTTAAACTGGAAAAAGATACAAAGAAGCTGAAAAGAAGTATTACTACTGTTCTTAGTATATGAAGTTATGGCACATTGGTTTAGCGAGTTGAGTCACTGGTTCCAACACCGCTTCACCTACTAAGGTGGCAGCCAAGTAGTATCACTAGCCCCCCCGCCCACAATACGAGTGGCTCACTCCCCACTTCACGAATTTGCACAAGGTTACCAGGTGATTTAGATGTTACTATAACTAGATATCTAGAACAGACAACTGCGAAATGATATTCACCATTCGGTTACTAAGTACCAGTACATAAGTTGTAAAAGAGCGAATATTGATACTCGATTCAGCTAGAAAAACTTACTAGCAAGAAATTAAGTATATAAATCTTTCTGTCACAAGTCAAATATTTAGCGAACAATTTAAAATCGATAAAGGTCGGTGAAACACGTTAACTTCATCTACTCTGGTTTTGTAGACTGAGTAGCATTGTAAGCCTTCATACACTAATGTGACTAAAAGCTGAGTACATAGGATTCGACAATTAGATCTAAACTATCAGCAGTCTCTTCTGTTTATCTTGAAACAAAACCATCTTTATCATCATCGCAAGTACATTCTAAGTGAAAATTTACTAACAACTAGTGATTTGAATTCCGTTTGGACAAAAAATATGATTTAGTATCACTTTTCATTTCTGAAAACAAATTATCATCAGTTTACGAAATTGACAAAATGTTACATTTTATCCTACTTAGACTGAAATAAGTTTGTTAAGTACTTATGAAACTTATTCACTGAAGAATTTACACAAATTAGTGTCGGTTAAGGGGCATTTAAAACCGTTAAAAAAAAAAAACATTTTACACTTGTATATATCAGTTACTGTTAGGGTTAAGGTAGTACAAAGTGATGAAATGATAACTTGGTACAGTTTAACCTCAGTTATTCAGTAGAACAAAACACTAATAATAACACATTAAGTGAAGTAGTATGTGAAAGTAGCCAGATGAAGGGGAATAATGAATAAAACTTTATCATTAATTCATAACCAGTGTATGAAGAATTGAAACGAAATGCTAATTCAACTCAATTGCAAATAATTCGTTATCTTGAAACAATAAGTTTTATCATGTTAAAAACACTCATACTCGAGCAAAGCAATAAAACATTTTTTTCAATCAAAATACTACTCAATCACTTAGAAGTAAGCTAAGATGTATATTTTTGTTCATTCGACACTGATACCCGTCAATACTACTCTTTGTATAGCAGCCATATGACATTTATAATGTTGTCCAACACTTTTCAGAAAATAAATATACTGCTTTTATGCTTTAAATCTTACTTTCAACACAACAGAAACCTACTTTATGGTTTGTTTGTTTTTAAATTGTAAAAAGGCCAGGGAACTTTGCTATAATACCCTAAAGTAAAGATGTGGAACTTAGTTGACTATAAATTTGGCTAATTATTGTATTTAGGATGTTTTTTTTGCATTATCCTATCTTTGACTGACCGGTCTCTATTGGCATATAAGCTCCTATTTATGATTGACAAGCAATATTGAGGCATCCACGCAGGAGCCCGTATGCCAATAGGAACCGGTCAATTCAGTGCAATCAGTGACGAAATAATACAAGCAGCATCATAAAAATTGTAGCCGTTCCTCAAGAAGTGGCTGTCGTGACTCAGTGGTCTAGAGGACAACGCTCTGACGTTTGGTCCTGGATTCTAGTCGTAGTAGGGACAACATCAATCACTGGGACCCAAGTACATCCAGCTGACGAACTCCGGATAGGACGAAACACACGTCCTAAATTCCACTGCTAGCCATTATCCATCATCACTACAATTATTTTATTTATTTTTTAAAGACAGTTTACTCAGAAGTCATTTCACCGTATTATTTTTTTTAACATTTTAAGGCGAAACCATAAAAATGTATCATTCTCTATCGACATTAAAATGGACTTAAAATGAAGGTAACTGTGAAGTAGTTCTGTGAAATTTTGAACTATTAAAAGGATGGTGCTGATTACAGATAAGTTTTATGGAGATTTTCGAGGACGATAATTATGATTAAATCGAAGGGAATTATTTGTCATCTGCTCGTCTCGTACTATTTGCTAATTCTGAGTGGTTCTTCATGTGTCTGTAATTCCTAAAAAGTACAAATTATGGACAAGATGTTCACACTCGAGGATGCTAAGTATCATGTTACACACCCTGAGACCTAATCACAACATTTACTTCAACAGTGACCATTGGTTATTTGATGCTTTAAGACTTAGTTTTTAATTTTTGTAATTGGAAATCCATAAGTCTTAAACTAATACCCAACAACATGAACCTGGTGTCCATTTCTAATTCTCTTAGCCTAATTCTTAAATCCTTCTATAGGGGTTCATTCAAACAATTAAGAAGTGACAGGTGACGGCTTTAAGGCTGATTTACGTACAAATCACAGTTTAGGTGGATTACTGCTATAGAGTTACATGCATGAATATCTTTACCATAGAAATCCTAGATGACTTCTTAAACATCATTAAGATACTATTCAGTCATTTCTTATTTCTACACTAAAAGAGCAACAGCAACGACACTTTCCCTAATTGGTATGTTTAAGGTCATTTATGGGTAGGTCAAGAACGGCAAAATTTTAGTTTCACTCATTTCGAAAAACTTTCTAAAGACTCATTTACTATTGTTCTATGCTGTTTCAGTGATGATAAATGATTAGTGGAGCGTAAATTACAGAGTGACTCTAAAGGCCACCCTAGCAACCGCTGAGATAGTCAATTAGGTTTTTTATTTTATAATAAACTACCTTCCTAGCTCGGTAAAATATCGAAACGTGATTGGTTATTTCAGTCGGTAGGGTGGTCTTTAGAGTCACTCCTAAAACTACTAGGTTTGTTTTATATGGTTGTGATAGTGATGGCTGCAAAATATGGCTCTGATACTGTTGCATGATTGTGATTTTCTATATGCCTCACTGTCTGGAGTATAGCTGCATTTGTCTGTGCTTATTTATCCCTATGAGTTACCGACTGAAATGAACATAAAAGGAAATATTCTCAATCCTTTTGCTAAGTCTTTCTTTTCTTCGGAGGTTTCGGAAGATTTATTGATTTCAGCGTGGTATTCATTACAGACTGAAATCACCTGGAGAACCATTGGAAACCTGGGAGCACTGAATACCTTTTTCGTTCTAGTATGGGACCTCTCAGAAGTGCGCATCCATGACCCGCCAGGGATCGAATACAAGACCTTCAGGTTTCGCGGCGAGCACGTTACCGTTAAACCACTGAACTGGAATTTAATGGTTCACATTTTTTCAATTCTATCAAATCGCAACACAGCACGACGTTCATCTAATGTCATCGCCCAGAGCTTCCAGGTTTTCAGTAGTTTTCCAACTGATGTCAGTCCGTGATGAATACCACCTTGAAGTTTCTCTTTTGCCTTGGTTATACTGATGTGTTTATATAGGAGAATGACATGTATAACACACAAATTACACATGTACATACAGCAAAACCATTTAGGCTAGAAAACGACAGTGACCTTAAGGGTCACCCTAGCAACTGCTAAGATAACCCATGAGACTACGGTATTTTAGTTGAGAAGGAATTTTTCCATAAAGTGAAGAAACATAACCAGTTACCTAAGCAGTTTTTAGGGTGACCTTTAAATCCACTCCTGTTTATTTCTTATAGTTACTTTGAAAGTCAACCTAGAAACTCCTCAGGTAACCAATTACGTTTTTCAACTCTACGAAAAATTGTCTTACCGGATACGATACCAAAACTTGATTGATTATTCCAGTGGTTGGCTGAGGTGGCTTTTAAATTGTAACACGATTCGAAAACTATTGATATAAGTCATTGCTCTGATTTCAGTTTCCTGCTGCTTATCATTCACCTCGAAGACATCTGTAGCTAACTTAAACTGTAATCTCTAGGCTACACTATCCAACATAATAACATTAAATATAATAGAAACTGGTTGTTTGATAGGAAGAATGAACATACAAGATATCTATCAGGCTGTTTTTCCACTCAATAATCAATTATCTATAGTCCACTTGTAATCGCAACATTTCACAGTTGTATAGTATATATTCTGGAGTACAAACATGTTGGCATACCTTTTTATACATACAATAAATCACTTAAGTTCACGATTAGTTAGCACATGAGAATTTAGTAATTGTTATGTTAGAATTTGCTTACTCCATTAAATAAGAAAACAAGATTGTTTTGACAAACATCTCACTTTTTAAGGTTATTTTTATCAAAATAATCAGTAAATTGGTCAGTTAAATTTTTGCTTGAGCAAACGTTGAAATACCTGAGCTGAAGGGATAAACCAATAGGATGTCTGTGTCATCTCTTTCTTTGTGGAGATAAGAGATAAGGTTAATCGACCAATTAAAGAGTAAAATTAGGCAACTGTGTTAGATTGTGATTCAATTTTAGTTTGTTTACAAACACAATGAAATGAGAAATTAATTTGTTTGGCCGAAGATAAGGTATTGAGTCCACTTAAGACAACTCTGTTTCTTCAGATTTTACAGTAGTACGTTTATTTTGTTTAATCAGAGAATAAACTAGGGTTAGCAACAGTAAGATTTTTAAGATAAAAGTCAGTCGGTAGTGAAAGATTTGAGTGTTTACTGATTAGTTTTCAAACAGAAAGACCATATTTGACATCAATGATGAATAGTGGCTAGCAGTAGAATCCAGGATGCGTGTTTCGTCTTATTTGGGATTCGTCAGCAGGATGTACCTGCCTCCCAGTGAGTGGTGTTGTTCCCAATACAAATGGAACGCAGGACGGATCACTTTAAGCACCAGAGTGTTATCCACTAGGCCCTCAACTCACTATAGCTACTCCTTTTACGAAGGGTATGATATAGTCTTTGATGTTACAGCTTGTGTATCTGTGTTGTTAGTTGAAACGACTTGATCGGTCACTAATGGCATATGGGCTTCTGTGCGGGTGCTTCGATATTGCCAGTATTAAAACACTGTGGCGTTTGAAGCGATTAGCTCTGAATTCTAGCCTTAACGAAAACAGCATCACTCACTGGGAGGCAAGTACACCCAGCTGACGAGTCCCGAATAGGACGAAAAGCATGTCTTGGATTCTACTGCTAGCAATTGTCCATCATTAATATCAAGTTTAAAAATACCGGAATATCGAGGCATCCGTACAAGAACCCATATGTCAATGGTGGCCCGCCTAGTCGGTCCAATCAATGGCGGAGATACACAAGCTATAACATCAAAGAAAGACTATATGTTTCAATAGAGTATAGAATTTGAGTAATATCATATAGTCAATGAGTTCTCTTGAGAAAAGGCTTGTTTGAAAGGCTATGTCAGAATTAAGTATTCCTATAATTCTCCTCAAAATGATGAATTATGTAGATGATGATATGTATTATGCAACACTGGATGATCAAAGTCAATTATCACCGAAAGTTATTATTCAAAGTAAATGATGATGAACGAAGAAGAATTTTATAGATTATTTGGTGTTACCACCAGACTACAAAAGATCTGGTCAAACAATATGAGCATGTAACTGTAGAACCTGAGGAAAAAGTCACTGAAAAGAATATTCTTTGTTCACTAAAATTCCGTTCGAATTATAATATAAGTTTTAAAAGGACTCTAGTTATGATTATTGAGAGTAAAGAACATCAGCTATGAACTTTGCTTAGTAACTTTGAATGTTTCTGAGTGATCGTAATGATACTTACTACAAGAATCAGTTTTATGGCCAGTCATTACGTCACGTATAGCTACGATAACGATGCCTCTAGGCAGGTACATACAAGCAATTTAAAATAAACTGTTGGAGAGAGAATAAATGAAGACAACAATCTATTAACAAGACAATAAGGTAGATACGAGCAGAAAGGTAAAATACGATATACTGCAGTGAACTGGCAATTTCATAAAAATTTTGGGGTGACAGCTGAAGAAAACTCAGAAGAACAAAATAATTACATAAGATGAGGAGAAATCAGTAAGATGGATACGAACAGGTTGAAAAAAGATACGTATAATTATGTATAACTCATTGAATTATAACCACAGCTAAGACTGAGAAAGATGGGGTAGGGAACTAACCTTACATAAGCTTATTATTACAGTAGTTGGAGATGAAGCATTATAACACCATGAGTAAATTCTTCACGATCACATAACAATCCAATTTATCAAATGTGAAGCGATAAAAGCATATAAGATCAAAAACGGTATTTTAAAAACTAGAAAATGTTAGTCAACTGATTTGCTTCATTTCCCAAGACTTGACAGAAGTAAATCCTTGTAAACCGTACACTTATTGGTCATTGGAGTGTAACCAATTTCATGATGTCTGGTCCTGATTGCTGACTGAATTCTATTGATAATTTTGCAATGTGGCCATCGAGTTGGTTGGGGCAATCAACAGGAAGCCCCAGACCGTAGTTTGGTGCTTGTTGACACTCGTCGACAAGGCGTATCTGCAACTTCGAGTGAACTGATGTCTCTACTGAGATTCGAACCCATATAGCCTAGTATTTCAGTCAGCGACGTTACCACTGATGCTGAGCCTCCTAGCGTGCTGGTTGCCTTGGAAAATGATAGTTAGGATCTGATCAATACTAAGGACTAAACGACAAGAAACTGATTATCGCTCAGTGACTAATCAATCTGGTCCTACAGGAGATCGATCGCATATCGAGTAGTCTAGTAGTAACGTCGCTGACAGCAGTACTAGGTAATGCGGGTGTGAATCTCCGAGGGAACATCAATTCCCTTGAGGTTGTAAATACTCCTTGCTGATGAGTGACAACAAACCCGAAACCTTGGTCTAGGGCTTGCTGAAGATAACCTCCAGCCAACTAGCATCTCGTGAAGTGCCTTAGAATCCAAAGCATGACTCATAAGTATGACAGCTTCTGGGATCAGCTAATTACTGTGGGAGGGAAATGACATGAATCACCAACGGGAATAATTTACATCAAATCACATGTTAACTGAAGTCAAAATGTGTCAATAACAGGAATCAGTTGTAACGGACCGGAGCGCCAAAGTACAACCAGAATGAGTTACATTTATGCATACTTGCTTCTACTGAATGCCATAGTGAGATGGAGTTAGAAACTAATTTTAAATTTGTAATTAATTTTGCAATTGATGGGAAAATCATCCCTTTATATTTATTATTAGCAGTATGATGTCACAAAACTCTTGAGAACCGTTAAGAATCTTCAAAACTAAAATATATAAAATAGAATTCAACATTACCTGGCCATGTTGATATTGTAGCACGATGAATGGATTCCTTAGCTTCTGCTTTACACAAATCTGATAGCAATAAACGATTAAACAGACTAGATTTTCCAACATTTGCAGAACCTATCAAATATACTGGATCTGTGAAAATAAAAAATAAAAAAATATCTTTCATATATTAGTCGGCATAATAATTAGAAGCACTGATAACCCTTAGAGAATAAATGAATCAAAACAGAAAAATTGAGAGCCATACGCTCTTTGAATGACTTTGAATATATTGAGTGGTGAAAAATAGCAAACCAGATATCCATATCAGATTACCACATAATGGGTGAATATTAATAACTTAGTCACTAGAACCTGAATGCAATGCAAAATGCTAGTGATGAAAACAATGGTGAAATAAAACAAGAGCTAAATACCTCTAATATTTTACTGGTTGATTAACTGGTGATGAAAGTCATATATATTGACAAGTTTTTATTGCTGACAGTCTTGCAAAAAAAACTAGTTTGAGGTTGATGACTTCTTGCCTCAGTTACGTACAGAATTTTGTATCTGAAGAATAGACAGAGTAAATTGTTAGCTATAAACCTTAGATGGTACAGCTTAAAATTGACTACCAAGCATTTATCTGAACGTAACGGCAATGCTCATCCCGAGGACAACTGGTATGATGTTATATCTGCTGTAGGAACAGCGGTAAAGACAATTGGTAACCGACACCCGAGGGTTAGCAAACGTCATTGCACTTCCACAACGTCATCCGAACTAACTGATACAAAAAGACTGATTCTAGCTGTCTCTCACCACGACGAAGAGAGAAAGCAACTTAAACGTCAGTTAACCAAGAGTTTTCGCTTCGATTGCAAGCAGCGGTGGAGGGCAGAAGCGAGATGGAGGAGGAACCAGGATTGGGTAACATTCGGCAACTATTTAGGCTTATCAAGAATACTGGCAAAAAGGAAACGATGGTTAGTGCAACTATTACCGAGAAGAATGGTACCCTGATAACCTCCAGGAGAAACGGTTAAACGTTCAGCAGAACACTTCGAAGCATAGTTCAACTGTCCCCAGCAACGCTTCAGTTGCCCAACATCCGGCCTGGAACTGAATGGGAAGTAGATGTAATTCCTCTAGGTCTTTTTAAAGCTGAGAAAACTGTATCGAACCTAAAGTGATGCAAATCTGTTGGGCCTGACAGTTTGCCTGAAGTTCTCAAGGATGGGGGCAAAAAATTGCTGTTTAAAGTAACGGAGGTACTAGGTGGCGTATGGGAGTCAGAGGTAGCGCCGTTAGAGTGGTCTACTTCACTGATCAACCCACTCTATAAGAAGGGAGAAAAATGCTCCTGTGACAACCGTAAGGCAATTAGTTTCACTAATGGTGGCGAAAATCCTAGAGTCTATAGTTATCCGACGCCTGACTAGAGCTTGAAAAAAGCAAAGTCGACAAAACCAGGCAGGTTTCAAATCTGCAGAAGCTGCATAGATTATATCTTTACCCTCCGATAGGTTATGGAATACAGATATACCCACCAGCGAGTGGCCGACACTTACAATATTTCTTGGCCTGAAAGCGGCATTTAACAATGGACTGTGAGGTTTTGTGGTAGTGTCTGACTGAAAAGCAAGTACTGAGCAAGTATATTATTATTTGTCCCTTGGGTTCCTAGTGGAACATAGGGCTTCAGTAGCACGTCTCCATTCCACTCTCTTCATTGTAGTCTTTTCAACCTGGCTCCACCACTTCCACAAGCTCTCATTTCTTCCTCACGTGATTTCTTCGCGCAACTCGTCATTTCCCATCTGGGTTCCACTCGAGTGCATGGCTTGGTGCGTGATGTCCCAAGTCGGTCTTCTCAGTGCATGCCCAGTCCAATCCATCTCCACTCTCTTCCGCATATTTGTTGGGTGATGAATTTTTGGTTGGTTCATTCCCAGAGTTCCTCGTTGCTTATTCGTATTATTCTGCCCATCTGATCTTCAGTATCCAGCTGGTGTAGGCAGCTGTTGATGAACGCCTGTAATTTGTTGGAAATGCCCTTCGTAACGCGCCAACTTTCTAAACCATCACATAGAAGCACTGACTTACTTCACATTGGTGTTGAAAATCCGGATCTTGTTCACCCTTTATACTGAGTGCAGTGCAGTGCAGTACAGTGCAGTAGATCTCCACAATGGTTTCAGCTTATTGAAAGCCTGTCTTGCTGTCTTTCCCATCCTGGCTGGCTTTCACGTCCTCATCTGTGCCACCGCCACCTGTAGTTGAGACAGTGCTGCCTAGGTAGCGAGGTAGGTGAAAGAGACTACTTCCTTTAAGTTTCTCCCGTTCATGGTCATTGGTGCCTCTTCTTCTTCTTCTTCTTCTTGTTATTGTCGTTGATTGGGTATCTTCATCACCTCCATCTTCTCTGCATTCACCTGAAGTCCCGTCTTCGCTGCATCTGCATGTGGATCTTCGAGTTTGTGAGACAAGACATTAGACACAAGTCATCACTGGCAGCGAAATCCAAATCTTCTAAGATCTTTTACCCACTCCAGCGTATCCCCCTCTTCTCGCTCCTCACAGTTGTCTGTCGCATGGTCCAGTCCATTGCAGTCAACCACAATCAGGAAGATCATCGGTGATAGTAGACAGCCTTGTCTTACTCCTGTTCTCTGTCTTCACTTCAAAGGCATCACTCAGCTTTCCATTGTGAATCATTTGGCATGTGGCGTCTTCATACAGTTGTTGAATGAGATTGATAAACATGTGTGGCACTAAAAGCGTAATGTTGAAGCAGCTACCTGCCAAACCACTTGTCAGTCGACTCTATCGAAAGGCCTTTTCAAAGTCGATGAAGTTGAGGTAGAGATCCAGTTGACTGTCATTCTATGCTCTCTTCTATCATGATGCATAGCGTAGTGTAGCGTCGCAATTTCGTCCGCACATGATTTGTACTTCCAGAAGCCAGCCAACCTGTTCCGATCGTGGTTTTCAATCCAGTGCATTCTTTAGTCTCTCCAGGATAATGCAGCTAGGTATTTTGCTTGGTGTGGACAGGAGCATGATTCCGTGCCAGTTCTTTGAAAGGCTTAGGTCGCCCTTCTTCCAATCAATAGATAAGTACCTTTTCTTCTTTCCTTCCTTCCCTGCAAACCTTCTGCAGTAGTGGTATGAGAATGTCCGCTGAAGTCTCTGCGTCTGTTCTCAGTACTTCTCGTGGGATTCCATCTGGTCCTCCTGCCTTCCCACATTTCAGCAACTTCATGGCGTTCACCACTTCGACTTTCGTCGGAGCATTTCTATTCACTTGTAGTTTTGTGGCTAGGCTGCTGGTGGCATTTCTGAATGAGTTGCAGATAGCGATGGTGGTGGCCGATTCAAGAGGGTTTTCAAGTCGTCAGCTCATCGTTTCCTTTGTTTCTCACTCCTCTTTGGTAACTAGCTTTTCTTTACTATCTTTGATTGGTTTCGTCTGTGTTGATCTCTTCCATCTCAAATAATAACCTGGTTATTTGATACAATGTTGTCAGGTCTCTGTCTCTACCTGCAGCCTGTTCTGCTTCACCTACCAGTGTGTCATAGAAGTGTCTTTTGTCTTTGTGCGCACTCTTCTTCTTCACTTCTCTCTCCGGTGTAGTGTTTATAGGTTGTACTCAGTTCCTCTTCTCGTCGTTCATCCTTGCACTGGTTTATCTTCTGCTTCACCATCACCATCTTCCTCTGCTCTATTATCAGCTTGCATGTGTCCGTCGAGATCCATTCCTTGTTTTGTCTTTGTCTTCTTCCTTCCTAATACGGTTATGCAGGTTTCCTCGGCGATGTTGCTCAATATCTCCCACTTTTCCTGATAGCCGATGTGAAGATGTCTTTTGAAGTTTCGTCCTTCCGTTTGTTCTGGGTGTTGAACTTGAACTGTGGTCTATCACCAGCTTCCTTGAATTGAAGGCTTTCAACTTGATTCTGAAGGTTCCTTGTACTAGATAGCGTAGTCTGAACCTACATCTGCTCCCCTTCTTGATGTTGAGTCCAGTAGACTGCATCTCCATCTCTACTTTCTTCAGATTGAGATGAAATCGATCTGATTTTTAGTGTAGTGCGTCTGGTGTCTGGTGAAATCAATGTCGTTTTGTGAATAGCCTTATGTTTGTATGCAGTGCTTCTAATGCGCAGAAGTCTGCAAACAGTTCTCCGTTCTCGTCCATTTCACTGAGTGCATCTCGACCCATGATGAGTTGGGCAAGTATATAAAGATAATAAAACCTCTCTACTCGAAATCACGCAGCCATGTAGGGGACTTGTGGAGACTTATCATCTGCATCGATGACAACTAGTGGTGTCCAGAATGGATGCCCAATGTCACTGTTCCTGTTCAACGTCATCATAAATATATTAGTGGATACAACATTTGGTACCTCTGACTTTATAAAACTGATCCACTCCCTGGAGGTCAACTGATTGACTCGGAGTACGCAGACGACATTGTCCTGCTAGGTGAAGACTTTCACAAAATGTAAGGTATTCTGAGTGCCTTAAGCAGAAATCCGAGTACGTTTAACTGGTATGCGTTTCGCATCTGTCAAATGTAAGATGATGCTTCAGGACTGGTCTGCAACCACTTCTATTTAATTATAGGGAGTAACGTGGTGGAATAATTCGACTGCAGGGTTTTGATCATAGGTGTCTTCATACCATTGCTCGCGTTTGGAGGAATCACCGCGTGAGCAGTGATGAGGTCAGGTGAAGGGTACTAAGCATAATAGGCAATTCGACTGAGAAGGTTGTAAACCTTCATCGACTGAGGTGGCTTGGACACGTACTGTGTATGCCGATCCACCGCCCACTTTGATGTGCCATGCTCGGGAAAGTTGGATTAGGTTTGAATAGGGTTCAGGGTAGTCAGACCAAAACCTAGCACCAGTCCCTGAATATCTTACTGTCGTCCTGAGCTGTGCGGGGGAGATGTAGACTGCCTAGTTCGGGTCCCCGAGACCATAGGAACCAGTGGTCGACAACGCTGGCGGCATGGCTTAAAATCGGTCACAATAGCGCAGACATATTCACCCCTCGATATCTTCTAAAGCCTGTTCTTTGCATACTGCTGTGAAGTGTGGCAACTTGAGCCGATATACCTGTGTGCGAGGTTTCACGTTGGTTTTTTAGTCAGCTATTGACTGCAACTTCAGACGTATATTTACCTGGCACTTCAACAACTACTGTCAGTCAGTCAAGATCAACATAAGGACTGGCATTATTGCCTAATGGTTCAAGTTGCTACATCTCGTATCAGTACATCAAGTCATGAGACATCAACATGAAAGGTAGAGAACTAACAGAGAAACTAAGCAGAAGAAGTAAGGTCACAAAAGGATTGAAGCAATGATGAAGTTTGGTGTGACGATTAAGGTGAAGATAATTGCAGATACATCCGCGCCATTATGAGAGATTTTCAACCATAACACCTTGAGTCTCCAACTACTGTTTTCCGATGTCATGTGGATCCCAGCCATGAAGTCTACATTTCCCCATACGGCTCAGACTACATACACCGATGCTGTTTTAATCCGGCTGCTCTTTACCTTTTTCTGCCTTAACCTACTTCAGTTAGCATGGTGTGACGGGTAAGACGGTGACTAGGGGAGCGTAACTAGACCCAGTCGATGAAGGCTCACAAACTTATCAAGTGACTTACCACTTTTACCTAAAACTATGCCTGACTTATGCAGTACTGATGTGCTAGTACTACAACACGACCTAAACTACATAGGTCATGGTGGTCGAACACCTGAAACCACATATCCTCTGTCTTAAATAGCCATATTCCACAGCCATATGGTAGAATAGAGATGCGCAGTACACGCAACTTTTAACGGTCGACTGGAGCACTCGTCGGCGCCACAAGTGATGTGAGTGGGAAAAGTACCTAGTAAACCTTTTGTATCCACAATGCAGAGGTTTCGTCGGCAACTGATTCACCAAGGTTGATCCGGTTTTCCAGTTAAATGGAGTGGTCAACACACTCAATCACTCTCCAATCTACTGATGTTTCATTTGATTTCTTTCACTATATTCCTCTTCTTAACTGACACGATGACCAAGAGTTTACTTTAATACGACTTGGATCTGCTAGTTGGTCAATAGTATTTAACTCAATCACGATCGACTTTTCGGTACCTGTCAACCAATTTAGGCCTTTTTTGCATACGCAACTGTTTTACTGAATATCAGGATGAGCAGATGCATCAGAAGCTCTCATTTTGCGATGTGAAGCTGTGGTTTACTGTCTTCAGATATCAACTTTGAACTGGAAGGTTATGATATCGAATCTTGTTACAGGTACCTGGTAAACAACACCATTCCGCATACAATATATATGGCTTATAGTCTAGCATAAAGACAAAACAAGGTAGCAGAGTGACATTTATGCATCATCTCTGATAATTGAGAGCCCCCATCTTTAAGATGCCTTTCTTGTGACCTCATCAAATGACTGTCAACACTGTTCTGAAACACGTATTAAGCCCCACGAATTTGGAAGGAAACTTCCCAATACTGGTGGATAACACGTCAAAAACCAATAACTAGATTTTGAAGAATACCTTTAAATTCATTCTATATTGTTCATCCACAAGACTTAATGATAGGGGCAGAATCAAACTTTATTCTCAACACAAATAAAAAAGCGTGAGGAGCAGTACATTGGCAAAAGTAAGCACTTCTTTTAGTTTTAATAGTTTAACATATTCTAGCAGTTAGTCGATACAACACTACACCCCTGACGTAAATTTATATGAACAAATGGTAATAAAAGTTCGACCGGACGTATGTGAGAATCTAACGCGAGGAAACCAACATTGATACCCGAAGGTTGCAGGAAATTTAAGACGTAAATCAATGAATATATATTAACATAGTGCCAGTCCGTTAGCTAACAGAGAAAAACTAGCATAAACACAATTAAACATTAAACAAACAATAAAATACGTTTACGATATTTTAATGGAGATATTCAACATATTTATCCACCAGAATTGAAGACCATTATTTTGGCCAGGTGATCCCCTTGTGGAAGAATCTAAAAAGTTCATCTGTTTAAAATTTGCTCCAATGCTGTCTTTACAAAACCACAGACGTTGTTATTAAATCATCTAGAACACCATGTTAAATACTAAATCACAATCATTGATGGAAGAATATCTCGTGCAACAAGCCTAAAAGAATCAAAGTACTAAGCTATTTTAATCATCCCGCTATAGCATTTCGGCTTCTACCACTTAGCTTTTATATCCACTACACAGATTAAATCCATGTAGTAGGGAATGTTGCTTTTACCAGTCATGAATCTTGTCACACTCCGATGATTATCACTAGTGCTTGGTTGTTAATGAACATTTTACTGAATATTAGCCAGATTCTATAGGACTTTACCATCGAAACTGGTAGGCAGAAAGATTTGACCAGCACAGAGACTGATATAATTGAGTGATAACTCATCACCACCAGTACTATGAGGGAGAACCAACAAGGATATATAGTGGAAATAATGATGTCAGTAGTGTTGAAGAAAACTAGATAATTTTACGGCAGTTTCTTTATATGAAACAGCACGATATGATAGTGTTATTCAAAGGATTGCATTTTAAAAATAGTCCATTACCCTTGATCATATAAAGAGAAAGTTAAAGGATGGAAAGTGATAGATACAATGGGAGATATGTACAGTACTGAGGAGAATTTTCAGATACACGTATCATTGCGGTTTATCCTGGACCATGTTTGATGGTTATCTTCCAAATTACACTGTATAGACACTCTTCTCCACGTGTAACTTTGGACATCTGAGGGATTAAATGCAACTATGTGCATAGGTAAGGGGCTGAGTTAAGCCTAATATACTGGTATCATATACCATCTTCAAAATAAAGTAGTGTGGAATCTGAAACCACAAGTAAATGATTAAGTTATATACCTAGACCAGTGATTTGATGCTGTGCATCATATAACGTCAAAGGTTTTGATGATTGGTAACAAAAGAATTCTACATAAATACTGCTCACTTTTAGAATGAAAACGCTTGGATAACAGGAAGTCCACGAGTTCTGTAATGCCATAACCAGTTAATGCACTGATGATGGAAATGTAATTAACATTGGCTCTTGGTACTTTGCTTCTGAAGACTGCTGCTCCCAATAAAGCCGAACGCCACCGCTCTAAGAAATCAGGGCTATCCCCAGGTAACTGGTCTGCCTTATTACCAACAAGTATGTATCTAGAAATAAATATGTCTTGGGGTCACAACTAACCTTTTACCTCCTAATTCTGTATGCAATTCCGGAATCAACGAATGTGGAAGGTTAATCAAATCGGCAATTAAGATTATGACTGTGTCATCATGGTTTCGTATTTCCTTGATTACTTTGGAGTGAAAACAAGATTCATTTAACGTTACCTAGACGCTAAGATTAAATACATGGTAAATACCTTTGCTGCATCAGCATGTTTTTGAAGAAGGTTACAGCGTACACAGAGAGTAAAAGCAATTTCTCTACACTTCGAGTGGGAACGTGACCACCCTGCACTTGAGACCATATTTTTATATTCTGTTGCAGGTATAAAACCTGGGTATCCTGCAGTTTTGCTGTGTAAAGGTGAACCACATCCTGAGCATGTAGCAGATAATGGTGGTAATGAAGGGTCTTCGTCGGAATAAATTTTATTTAAGTCCTCTGAATTAAGAGATCTTGAAGGGTTAGGTATCTTAGCACTGATGCTGTGAGAAGAAGAATAGACTCGGTCCCTGTTTCTTAAGACATCCACTTGTTCTGCATGCAAAACGTCTTCCCCGAGTGCTGATTCCTGAGATTCAGAGAGTAGGTTTTTAAAACTAAGTTGTTCTTTTGTATTGATTTTGTAGGCGAATTTCCTGATGCACAGACTGATGTTTGGGTGCACTTTCTTCAGGAAGAATGATAAGTAAGATGCTGACATGATTGAATCAAGTTTCCATCAGCAGTAATGATATTGGTGACAATTTCATGTTTTTTTTAGTGGATGGAAACTCAATGTCCTGCCAAAAAAGATAAAATATTGGTAGGTATGCACAAAAATAACTAGTGTACCTTACAAACAAAAATGAAGTCATTCATACAATTTTGACAGATTCATTCGATAGTCTCTAACTAAATTTCTCTAAGAATCACTTTACTCAGTAGGATGATTGGTATAGAATATCCGGCAGTCATGTAGCATTATACAGCCGGCACTTAGTGCACATGCCTTCATATAGTCGGGTTGTTGCAATTATTTCTTATAAATAGATACAGTTTATGTAGCAAATAGAACTCAATGTCATGAACAACAGATGAGAATGTGGACAAGAGCAAAACTGATAAGCATGTAGGATAACTACGGAAAATGTATACCCGATTTATGTATACTTCCACTGGTGTACCTCAGCAATGTTTACTCTCTTCATTCTTATATAACTCTTTCACAGACGTTCATATGAGGGTTTCCAATATTTTTTTTGACTTCATAAGGATTAACCTTGTCGAGGGCAACTATTTGGTCGAACTAAATACAGTCACTGAACCTCACACTTGTGTGCGAGGTTGTACGTTAATTTTGTCTATCTGGTTGTGAAAGGAGTTTCGAGCAAGTATATAAAGATAATAAAACCTCTCTACTCGAAATCACGCAGCCATGTAGGGGACTTGTGGAGACTTATCATCTGCATCGATGACAACTAGTGGTGTCCAGAATGGATGCCCAATGTCACTGTTCCTGTTCAACGTCATCATAAATATATTAGTGGATACAACATTTGGTACCTCTGACTTTATAAAAACTGATCCACTCCCTGGAGGTCAACTGATTGACTCGGAGTACGCAGACGACATTGTCCTGCTAGGTGAAGACTTTCACAAAATGTAAGGTATTCTGAGTGCCTTAAGCAGAAATCCGAGTACGTTTAACTGGTATGCGTTTCGCATCTGTCAAATGTAAGATGATGCCTCAGGACTGGTCTGCAACCACTTCTATTTAATTATAGGGAGTGAAGTGGCAGGATGTGTCAACCACTTCATGTACTTGGAGGGTTGCATTAGCTTGAACGGGCTGGTCTCTAACGAAATCTTAGCCTGGTTAGCATTTGCCAACTTGCACCATCTGTAGCGCCGGAAAGATATCCTACTACCTATTAAAAAACGGGCAAACTGCGCTGCAGTCTGTCCTCTTCTATTACAGGACTTAGACTGCCTTTGACATAGTATAAAGCGAATACAGGGTTTCGACCACAAGGGTCTTTGTAGCGTTGCTCTGGTATGGTGAAATCACCATGTTTGTAACGTCGAGGTTAAGAGAAAGGTACTAAGCAAAGAAGGCGAGTCGGTAGACGATTATGTGAACCTTCAGTGACTGAGGCGGCTTGGACATGTGTTGCATGTTACCGGCTACCTCTATATGCAATGCTAGCAGTTGGGATGGGTTTGAAAAAGGCTCAGGGTAGCTAGACCAAGACGTGGCACCAACTTATGAAGTCTGTTGGTGTGAGCCGTTAAGGGAGGCGTATATGACTTGGCTGGAGTCCTCAAGACTAAAGGAATGAATAGCTGCATAACGTCGGTGAAATGGATGAAAATCGGTTACAACAGCACAGATGTATATACTGTTTAACGCCATCTTAAGCTTGAACATTATTTTTAACTTTGATATTCACATTCTTCTACTTTGATATCTGTTGTCTTCCATCCACTTGTTGCTTGCATGTTCACGTGAGATGTGGACACTTGGTCCGATGCACCTCAGTGAAGCGCTTAACGTTGACTTTATGTCTGCATAGATCACTTCACCCGGTCGTGTCAGGGTAGGTACGTAAGCCGAACAAACAGCCAGTTTGTTCACTGTCGACGTAAAGATATTTCAACTCGCTTAACTAGAGGTAAATTAGGACCAGTCAAAAATTAAATGCCACAATACTTAGTGGACAATGAACACAGCTTCAGAAGATTCATTTTATATTGTTCATAGGGCTCAGAAAAAGCTTTCAAAAGGTGTAGGTTTTCGTCTATTATGCGTCGTTGAAGTCTAAGCAATACGGAAGTAGAAGCCGACACTGTGTTCAGAAGAAAGTTACCAATTATCTTATTCATTAACGTTGCAAATCTCTGAACTTAACCAACTCCTCTCGACTTCTCGGTTTTGACTTTGTTTATTTGTAACTATCCAGTTTAAACTCATAACAATTTCCTATTTTGGGTGCTATTTCCTTTCTCATCGACGGTTACTTAACCATTTCGGTATGTATTTTTAACCATTTGATGCTACTCACGTTCATTTCACAAAACTCGACTATCCACACCATAAGACAATTTAATGGAGCCTACATAGTTTTCCTGACAGCAACCTACAAATTACAACTTTACAAACCACGTTGGCACCCTTTACCATTGGATGTAGACGGTAATTATATTTAAGTACGATTGTACACCTTTTGATAATGATATCACACAGAAAAAAATTTTTTTATTGAAGTCTTTTCTTTATATCTTCATAGGAATATGAAAAAATAAACACTACTGGTGGGATTGATGTACGTTCAGTACTGACCTACAGCACCCTAGGAGTCAAAGCCAGTCGGGGCCTGAGGATTATAGTGCACTGTTCGTGTCAGGAACTGTTGTTTTAGAAACCTTTGAGCGATACGCAGGACTTTTACCGGGACAAACGGTAGTTATTCACCATATTACACATAGCCCTAGTTAGATTTCGACAAATAATTCTTAACCTAGAAAGTGGCTGAAACCTTTTGGAAAATGTGAAGGACAAACGCGTTTGCAATCACCGTCGAAGCCGGCCTAATCAACGAGTAATGATGTGGAGAGCTGGACTTCATCTCCTTGTCGTACCTCAGAGAAGATATTTAACTACGTCATATGCAACTGAAAGGATAACTTCAAACCCGATAATTTCGGTACAGTATACATTTTTTATGTTGCTTACGTTTAGGTTTAGTCTGGAAGATGTTCTATATCCCTAAGTTCATTCATACTTTGCGGGTCAAAGTGTGTTTGCCTTATTCTGTAGTGGAACTTCCTGTTTTATAGCAGAAAAGAAACGAAGGAAACATCTTGAAGGCAATGTGTATGCATTCCGGACAGATAAAGAAACGAAGTGACTCCTTTCACTTATCAAAGTTCGAGCTAGTAAGCAACAAGAGAACGCAACTTAATAACAAGAACTGTGCATCTGTTCGATCATACCGGTACACTGTGACGTGCTAGATAACTGGTGAACGAATTACTGTCCAACGAGTCTCATTATAGCAACCAAAGAATAATCAGCAGCACATGAAAAAAGCTACAGGTAGATGTTAGTTCAATTGAACCGGTGGGGTTTCCGGAAACGTTCTACCGATTGTTAATATATATTTTTTTTCAAAAGACATTTAACGGCTTTTATTTCATTACCTATGTATATTGGAGAACTGATAATTCGCATCCAGCACGAGGTTTTGGTCAAGCACACATAATTTATGGCAATGCGGACACTAGGGTTAGCTTAGGAAAACAAGTACCTTAGGGGGTTTCAAAGATGAGTTCATACACGTTTTTCCCAACAAAATTTCACCATTTCATTTCGATAGTTCCAGTCAACATTTTTGTCGGCCAAATGTAGGGCCTGACACCAGGTCCCACAACATTTTCCTTACGCCCGGCACGGTGTTTTCCAATCCTCCTTTTAGTTCCAAGTTCAGCATATTTGGCTCTACGCTTTTACAAATGGCCCCAGAGTACAGATTTCTGGCACCACGTAGGGCCAGCCTAATACACAGTTGAAAGGTTACTGTTAATAATGTTCAATTAGCACCAAGTCCTGTTTCCTACTACTGCTCGCCATCAGTTCCTTCCCGTAGTCACAGTAAGTTTGAGATTAATATTTACCTGAATTAGCTATTTAACCTATTTCATTGTCTAATGACGAAGAAATAAATAACTGCCTGCAAGATGAAATACACGAATTTCCGGTCCTGCCTGAAATGCCGTAAAGCGTCATCCAAACGGAATAAAGGAAAGAGAAATTTTATGTGTATTTGATAATAAATTTTTTGATACCGGATGATTAAAGGTGAAACGAAAATTTGGACCGCAGCCAGATTGTAACCAGAGACTACCTGGCTTCCGGCTCGAGCTCTACCAACTGAGCTACGAGATCCGACTTCTGACCTGATTTTTATTTCATTTCAATCGCTAAGGGTTTCGCCCAACTACCATGTGAATTTGTGATGCATTACTATCGATGGGTCGTACTCACACTGGCTGCCCAGTCAGGACTTCACATCCCAATCCAAATCTGAATTAGAGAGGGGGAGCATCATATTGATTATCATTCAGACTATCTGAGATAGCTGTGGTTTAGCAAACTGTTGATACTCAGTGATGATTGAGGGTGAATTGAAAACTTGGACCGCGGCTGGATTCCAACAAACGATCACCGGGTTTCCTGCCCGATTCTCTACCAAGTGAGCTACGAGACCTGGTGGTCACTGGTTTGAATCCAGCCGCAGTCCAAATTTTGACTTCACCTTCAATCATCACCCAGTATCAATACTAGTCTGCCAAACCTCGGCTATCTTAGTCAAAATGATAGATTTTGTTGACACATTCCATATTGTACATGGATTTTTGAAAATTTAAACGAGAGTGAAAACTCAGGGCGCACTTTGAAGCACTTGACACTTTTGAGGACAAACCTCCGGCAGACTTTGGAACTTGTGACACTCCCAGGGACAAACTGGGTGCAGTTTGGAACTCTTGACTTTCGGGGAGAAGGTCCGGAATTATCGAAGTAAAACTTTTGGGGTTGTGCCCAAAACTTACGAAGTGGGCCGGAGGTTAATTCTGGCCACATTTTGCCCCAGTGGTTCGACTAACACGGTGAAACATTATTTGTCCCCACATGTAGTGCAAATGGGGCCAAACATTGACTGGGGGTTCAGTCAAAACTTTTGTCGGGCCAAATAGGGCAACATACGTCACCCATGAGGCCGAGCATTGGGCCAGTTTCATCTGGGCCAAACATATGACCAATAATCAGTACACTGGGCCAGATGTCTGGCAATTTGTAAAATCTCAGGGCCAGAAGTAGGGCCAAAACATGGGGCTAAATTGAGGGTTAAAATACATATAGCCAGACGTGGAAAATATGTTGCAAAGCCCCAAATCTGGCCCTACGTTCCCTATGGTGGGCGGCCTAACACTGTCCTATTTGGTCGATACAAATGTTGACTGGGCCCAGTCAACACCCGGGTGGTGACAACATATATATAACTCATAAGAAAATGTCCAATATTCTTTGCACGAAACTAGGCATGAACTCATGAAGCTTCACAAAAGTATGGGTCTGACGGCAGCTATGTGAAAAAGGGGACTGGGAAGTGGAGTGTTAAACAGAAGCAACTGACCCACAAAAGTAGCGCGTACCACGAATCCAATATCCAATACTGATAGTGCGAGCGTAGAAAACTGGTAGTTTTTGATCTCTCGCGTCTAGTTCTTAGGGCTTGGTTCCAGTTTTGCTGTACATACATATTAGAGTGTACCTGATGAGAGGGGAGGTCTGGATGTGTATTTTCGCGGGATGAGCGCTTACGTGGTTGAATTTAGCCTCGCCAGTCCTCATAGGACTGGCATTGTTCCGTTTTTTTGTGTTTTGTTCTTAACTTGGGTGGGGGCTGTAGCAGTGGTGGCTTCTTTACTTGATGTATCTAACTCACTGGTCAGCGCCTGTGTGACGACCACTGACTCCAGAGGTCTTGGTGGTTGCCGTCTCTCCTCTTGCCTTGTGGGTCTAGGCTTACTTTCACATATACGTATTGAGCCACCCATGCGATCTTTCGCATTATACCATGCGTGCAGAACGTCTGTGAGGGAGGCATATGAGTCGAACTGGACGGCAAGTAGTCTGGGATTGGGTATGGTCTTCAGGTGCGCTGGCCTTGGCAGTCTACTGACGCTGTTGGCCGGTATACTGTTGAGACCAACTTTGGTTGAGAGCCATTGCCATTGTTGGACGTCGTGAAAGTACCGATCTTTGACCGAGCTGTCACTTGGCAATTCTGGAATCCCATGTACAACTATAGTGTTGTTTCTGTTGGGATTTCCAACCGCTGACTTTCTCTCCTCCTCTCTTACTGACCATGGCTTGTCAGGCCTGGCCCGAATTTTACAGGCATTAACAACGTCCGGTTGTCGTGAGAGGAGGAGTGTGTCTTCAGCCTCTTTGGCGGTATTTAGGGACACACGTAAAGGGGGTGGCTTATCTCGGGGTGCATGGCTTCCTCGAGAAAGGCGACACAAAGTTGCAGGGAGGGGAGGGAGTCCCAGCATCTGACAGTAGTCGGTCCACATTCGGCTGTCAAATTGTTCCCTCTCGACCAACAATGAGTCTGTCGATACATCGACGTTGAACAAAATGATCGAGTTGGTCCTCCTGTGACCTGGGTTCGTTGTGGGTGGCACGCCCGACTTACCAATGGGTTTGAGTAATTCCACTGGTTGTTTCTCAGTCACGGTGTGTGGGGTGTTCGGAATGGGTTTCGTAGAGGCTTCGGCGGTCGATGTCTTTGGCCATGCGCTTGACGTCCCCTGGGGCCGGGTAGGGGTATGGAGACTTGACCTAATATGGTCCCCACGCGAGATGGCGTGCCCACAGCTGGAGCTCTAGGTCTGTTTCCAGGTCTCTCTGTGTTATCCTTTGGTGTTAACCCTACCTTATTCGAGGATGCTGGTAGCTTTTGCGTGGCGGAGAGCATCTCCTTCAGGCTTTCTGTGCGGAGTGCGGGCATTTTCCTGCACTCTGGACAGATGTACCAGAACCACTTGCATGGTTGTCTCTTCATCAGCTTATAGTATTGTCGGGGGACTTTGGTATCGCAGTGGCAATGCGCCCATCGTTGACACAGGTTGCATGCAAATGCCTCATCGACTACCGAAACAACTTTGGTGCAAACACTGCAGCCATCGGGTGTCGTAATACAGCCTTCCTTCCATGAATAAGGTGCTACGGATTGTGGCGAACTGCTTGTGGCTGCCTTGTTCTGAAGCCTTTTACGTCGTCTTCTATGTTCAGGCATGGTATGATCCTTGCTCAAGATAGGACTAGTTTGTGACGGGCTAGTGCTTCTCTGTGTCACCTGTCTGATGGCTACTGGAATTCTAGAAACATGGGTTGGCCACTTCTTCAGAAGTTCGATGTTCTGCCCTACCTCTGTTTGTCTTCTAGTACAGACTAGTGTGTTGTTTAGGGTGTTACTGGCCGTTGTTGTGCACGACCGCGTTATCCGTGTCAAAGCTTCAGACCTAGCGTTTTGGGCAGACATGTCGCTATGATATAAACTTCTTGGGAAAACAAGTAGTTAACAACAATAAGAGGGTTGAAGACTGAATGCAGCAAAAGGACAGAATAGAAAAGGGAAGATAATTTATGTTGGCTCACCTTCAGACACTTGTCACTTGATCCTCTGCTCTTGACCAACGAGTTTAACCGTAAGCTCCAGATGCGTATGTATAACCAGGAAAGATATTTCCTGGGGAATGACCTCCGAGGAGAACCGAGAGCTAAGGCAGTTTGGCAGCTGAAACGCCCAAGAACCACTGACAGGAGGTAGACCGGTTGGTTCAAAGGAATAATAATGCCAATTTTCAACTGTTGAGGAGTGAGCTGACGAATGCGCAGGGGTGAGGTGCGTGGATGGACAGAAGTGCTGCAAACGTTCGATGTTTTTAGATTGAGTATTGCAAGTGGGAGTTTTTCATTGTGGAAAAATCCAAAAGCTGAGAGACGAGCGAAACACGTCACTGCTCAAGGAACGCGCCTACCTTGCACCCGGCTTTCAGATTTCAGACTTGTTGTTTGAGGAAAGAAGGCTATAAACCCAAATTAGTCCTCTTCTGGTAGATTTCTTTGCTTGTTAAGTACTCTTCCGGGTCAGCTGATCGATGATAAGGATACCGCTTCTTCTGGGAGTCGTTTCGAGATGATTACTCGACGTGAGAACCAGTACCCTTCGGGGTCTGTTTTTCCTTTCTTATGCATTCCCCTGCTATGTCTTCTGAAGAAGTGACAGGGAAGATAGATCAATTCCAAAATTACTTCTTATAATCCTGCATAGCATGATTAGATCTCCTTTCCGTCTGTGATAGGATAAAGAGAAGAGGTCCAGCTTCTCAAGTCGATCTTCATCGGTGAGGCTATCCAGTGCAGGAATCACAGGGGTTGTTGGCCACTAAACTCCTTGCAGAAGGCCTGAGTCACCCTTCGGATAAGGATTTGCCACCTGTACACATTTTAGACCTAACTAAGGATGCGTATAAGATGATGTACACAATACCACTAATTTTTGTAAACGTTCTGCGTAATTACTATTCATTGACACACTTATCACTCTCCTCTGCCTTGTTGGGTTTAAATGTTCGACCTCTACTGGCACATGGGCTCCTATGCCAATGCCTCGATATTGCCTGAATGTTAATTGTGATTATTTGGTTGATTGTGGCCATCAGAAGAATCCAGGACGCGCGTTTCGTTTTATTTGGGGCTTGTCAGCTGGATGCACCTGCACCCCACTGATGTTGTTCCCCTGAGACTCGAACCTCGTGTCCATCGCTTCAAACACCAAGGGGTTATCCCCTATGCCATGGAGGCGTAATGCTCGATGTCCAAAAATCCGAGCTGCAACCGATCAGCAGTGTGGCGTGGCCTCCAAATCATAACTCGATCTGACTCCTAGGTCGTTACGTGCCGGTACTGCGGGCACGGGGGTCCCACTGATATCGCAGCTGTTGTCATCTCCATGGCCGTGTGAGTGCTCATACGTTTACCTGCCTTAATGAGCACCAGCCGCTTCTGTAACCAGGTAAACGTGTTGTCCGGGTCTGTCTAAGGTGAACACAGAACCTGACCAACCCTGATCCTCCGCCAGACTTTCACACCACCGGCGTAGAGAACCACAATGGACCTCTTGATATTCAGCAGCAGAGGATCAGCAGCTCTGCTTTCCGGCACCCCACCCTCCGCCCACTCTCAAGAGAACAGTTAATAATGGACCCTTCCTCTTTGCCTCTCGCCGACAAGAAACTTTGACCCGGTCGTGTTGATCGTCATCGATTCAGTCGCCCTAGCAGCGTGGGACGAGGTACCTTGTCGGGAGCCTTGTTACAGTCTGCGAAGATGACATCCACGAGCATTCCATTATTCTCAGACTTAGCCCAACTTTCCCTGGCTGTGAGAAGGTTCGTCAAGCAAGAGAAATTTTCACAAAAGCCATGCTGCGAAAAGGGCAACATGGATTCTCCCTGCAGGCGAACTGTGATGGCTTTCTCGACTGCCGTTTCTAGGATTTTTGCCATGGTAATGGTCAAGCTCATCGGCCCGTAAGTTGATGAATGGTGTCTGGGACGTGCCACGCGGGTAGGCGGGACCATGACTCTCTTCCAATAATAAGGGAGTTTTATTCATTGATGGCCGATCTAAATTCAGGGGCAAATTGCCATTATTATTGCCATTATTATCATTAAATATAGTAGCAGTGGGGTGGCTACATGCAGTGTAAGCTCTATGAGCAGCCTTGGGTGCAGCTCATCCAGCCCGTTGATTTTTTTACATCGAGGGCACGTGGTGTCTGAAATCCATCATTGCAGTCGATATCCATGAAGCCCCTTCCCTCAGGTGTCAGTGTTTCTACTATTGTGTTGGTTTCAACAGAAGGCTTCCGCTTAAGGATCTCGGCAAAATCTCCGGCCGCAACTTCTGTTCTTTCCTTGTCTTATTCAACTAAACGGTCAGTTTTGTCCCTATGACCAAAGCGGGTATACCACGGTACTTCTTATCCCTACAGTTCATATAAGAAAATGACGTATCCAGATGTCACAGTGCAGCCTGGGCAAGACATGTTTCAATACATGTTCGTGAGCAGCGCATAACAGCATTACACTTACTTGCGGTTCACCCCAGATGCCTAACTCACCGGAATCCACTGGGTATACTGCTTGTGATTCACACCTCTTTCATATCGATCGGCTCAGTTCCGAGGATGAGTGAGCTGGTGATGAAGTATAAAAGATAAAGCAGCTGCCGCGTGCCATTTCAACTTGAGAACGTTAAGCAGTAAAATGCACATATTGTTCGTACTACACGGCGAGGGACATGAACCATCAATAATTTGCTGGACAAGTCTCTCGAAGTGGAAAATGGAGTGTTTCTTTGACAAATACGCACAAACATGATGAGAAAAGCTCATCTGTGAATGACAACTGGGGTTACTTCACTCAGTTTAACCCTAGTCAACTTTTCTGGTTCTAATATCTTCAAATGGTATGCCGCAAATTATAGGTGGACTTGTCTTCTCCGTTTATTGAAGGTGAGTTGTCGAAGCACTCATCGTAAAAAAGTCGGTTCTATATGTTTAATGAGTGGAGACAAACAGGATGATGATGTCAACCTTATGACTTGATATAAAGTGTGAGTAGAAACCACATTCCTATGGAAGTCAGTAAAGCGGCCAGGAATTTGTGTGGTGTAGCAGTGACGCGATCCACCCAAATCACCTTGCACCGAAGTATATAAAGCAGGAGACAGCACGAACAACGGGAACGACACAAAAACCAAGATCTTCACTGACAGTGCAATCGTGAAGGATGAAGTTTGTGTTGTTCACTTCCAAGTGGAGTCCTGATAACTAGGGAAACGGGAAGACTTATTCTTTGGTAATACAACCCCACAAATGTAGAGTACTCAAACACTGTGACGAAAAAGAAACGCCAAATTCACGATGAATATGACGATACACACACTGTACTGACGGCACTGCGCAGAAAGAGAGCTGTTCCTACTTGTTCGGGGATTGAGTGCATATGGTATCTATGCTCTGTCCATTGCCCTCACAATATCTGGGGAGCAATTTTGAGCAAGAAATTTTGTACATATATAATACCACTGGCAGTCATTTAACTGGAAGAGGAGCGTGAAATGCGACGGAGGTAAACGTTTCTGCAGTTGTCTCTTCTACTGGCAAATAGTGCCAGCTATCAATATGGAGCCGGATGTCACCGGGCAACGTTTGCGAAAATTGCCATATCCTTTTGATGTTTAAATCCTCTGCTAGTGAGATAGTGTTGCAGCCCTGTTTATTCGCGTTGGCCACCGGCATCCTTCGTCGCAGTTATAGAATGTTTCTTACGCGAAATGTCTGTTGTTCTAGAGTATTTACAATAGCTTAATCTGTCCGTTTAAGAGGGCCTGGCGAGGACTTATGTGAGCCGTCAAAGTCAGACGATAAGGCGGGCTGCTAATTCCAGTGAGTTGGACCAATAAGATCAGTCCTGTACAACGAATTACGCAACACGAAAAAATGTCGGCCCACCTGCACGTGTGCAGTTGGATAAACCGGTCGTTTAGCTCCATTCTCGTGCTAAACAGTTTAAGGACACTGCCTTGTGTGTTTGCAAAGAGGTAGCAGACGTATAGAAATGGCACCAAAGACGTCGAGGACTGAAATCATGAGGCGCCATAAAACTCGCATGAAGGTAGGCCAGTCAATCACCGGTGAGGAATGCTTCAAAGCTCACCTCCTTCCGTGGTTCCTACTTATGTTGCCCGAGGTGACAGCGAAAGCCCTATACTTACACCACCCAGCTCAGAGTACACATCAAAACCGAATTCGGCCTCCTAAGCTAATGCTGCTTACCACTATCACCGACATTAAAATCCGATGGATTAACATTTAAAAAAATAACTGATGGCAACACACATGGCAGAGAAAGCGAATGGTTCAAGCAGATGAAGTTACCACATTTGCGCTTCCTGGATCCTTATGTTTAGGCTGGGCTCTTGATATGTGTGGAGTTCTTGCATATATCACGCACAATTCATAATTTCGACTTCCGAGCAAGAAAGTTTGTATTCGCTGCTCGGTGCTCTTTTTTCTGCCGAAAAGTCTCCCCCCGCCGATCCCTCTTCTGTCTATATCTTACTGATTGACCAAGCGATTGGCTGTCATGGGCTGACTCCACCCCTAAGAGTAACGCCAAGAGGCGCTCAACCAGCACGATGACTCAGCTCCGAACCAACAGGTTACAGTAAGCAATACGTCGTTGTTCACCAGTTTTCTATCCACATGTTGAGGACGCTTAGAGGGATTAGAATCGGACTTCAAATAGTCCTGTCTCACAATGTCGGGCGATAGCCTTTTTCATGCCAGGCACGAAGTGTGATTAGTCCCATGGAAATCTGGCAGGATCGGCATGCCATCAAACATTAAACAATTTTGTGCGTCGAACAACTAATCAACTGACCCCTGTACATTTTCATTTGATGACTCGGTTGGTGACACATACTTGGGCTATTCTTCGCTGGAAATGCAGGCGTTTACCCGAGTGCATAGCACCTTATCTACACACTTCAAATACTTTTGTTTCACACCCGAGTTTCCGGCTGAAAAGCTCTGATTCAAAAAGGAACTACTCATGTGACCCGCACAGAATGGCATGATTGGTTAGGAAACAGTGATGGACATTACTCATTTGTTTTCGCTGGACTATTCAACTCATTACAAGGACTGGCTATTGTTGTATTTGCCGATGTCACATATGCAAACGACTTCGTTTAAATTCGCTGCTAAAATAAACAGCGTGACAGGAGGGAGGGCTCCAGTCAGTGATGGATATAATATTCTGATACACGACGGTTGGGAAACCACTGAGATCTTCAGATCACTGCATTGCTGGTTCGTCCGGCCATAGGACACCACGGCAACCTGGTCGAACATGAGTGCAAATACGCGCCGATGGAATTCGACCATGGCCACGAACTGACGAGGGTGAAAATATATGCATCATTGCATTTCGTCACGAGGCTCGGTGGTTCCAATGTCGATGCCCAGTGCGATCGCAGGCTCACTCTTCTGAGTTCATCCACAGCAGTAGGGGGATAACTGCTAACTTTCCCTGCGGTCTTCAGCTTATGTCAGTCTGTGATGAACACCACCTTGGAAGCCATCAGCTGGACGACACTATGAGGCATCCTGCTCGTGCAAATGTTTGTTGGCGGTATAAAGTTTAGCCCCGGAGTAATCAATAATCTTGATGAACATTCAGTGGAAAAACACCCATTTTCTCTTACTGACATTGGTAAAACTTGTCCGCAGTCACACGGGTACAATCGGACATTCAACTTCTGTTTGACTTGAGCGATGTTCATACTGGCTCCACTGGGTCGCCTCTTTTTCTCATCAAAGTACTCTGCTCATCAAATGATGTGACTATCATATGCGTGAATACAGTTTGCAGTGTGATGTTGCTACTTTTGTGATTTGACTTCATGTTTTACAGGCAACTCACTCCATGGATGTAGACCCAATCTTGAGTTAACAATCGTGAATGTTCCTACTCATTTGGAGGGTATTGCACCTTGTTGACCGCGAATTTCACCCCCACATCTTTTTTCGAGCAACCGTAAATCTTGCTTAGACGTGAACCCGGTGAGATATTGCGCGCTTTTTGGGCGCTGGCGATGTTCACAGATTCTGTGACATATTTTCCGGCCACCGAGTAGCCCTTGATGGTGTGATAGGCACGTTATCCAAAGATGTGTGTGGATAATCCGTTACGTAAGCTTCAAAGCGCACAGCGGATTTTGGAATGCCCATTTACTGCGTCGCAAGTCAGCAAGCTGAGTGCAATAACTTTCGGTGAGATTCTTCTGCAAGCGAGGTAGCTAGTGGCGTGGACTGAGTTGGTATTAACTGCCTTGACACCGCACTGCGTTTGTGACCGTATCTTTTACTCCATGCTTAAACGTATGAGGTGGACGGTGGAGGAAAGCACCACTCCGGGGCTGATGAAAACACACAAAATTTGGTTTCACCAAGCAAGAATTCGAAGTACAGTTTCCCTGAACTATTAGAAAAGATGGTGGGTTCGGACTACCATCTATCATTAAATCCTTATCTTGAGCCCTGCTTCGGTAAAATTATTCCCAGTCATCTGCTTCCTGAGACTTTCGGGGGGGATATTTCACTAACCAACATCTAGCCCTTTCTGCACACACGAAAGCAGGACAGCGGAACAGGTTACCTTGACCACAGCACGGGCAAAACCGGAAAACAAGTGCCAATCCTGAATGATAATAAGGGAGACATCAAAGCCTAACGGTTCTCTAAGCTGGCACTTTTCATGTTGGATATTCTCAGGTGTATGTGATGGAAGCAACAGTATGTGATCACGAGTGTTTTCTGGGAAAGACGTTAACATGATTTGGAAAAATGAGACAATGTTGTTGGTTTCGTACTCAAGATTGAGTGCTGTATCAAGCCACAATAAAGTCAGGAACATAGGACATGGGAATTAAGCAGTACAATGACACTGACGGACAGCACAGGATACTTTTTTGAGGCAAGTAGTCTGGGAACAAACAAACAAACAATTTCAAAGATGATAAAAAAGTATGGTTTTCAAATTTTAATCAGAAGCCAGGAACACGTAAATGAATATAATTGATTTCCAATTTCTAAATTTCTTGCGCTTATTTAGTTAATGTGCTACCTCGGATGTGTCAATGGTTCTTAAACTTAAGTTCCGGAAATAAACGTCTGTAAGTTAGTTGCTTATCGCCATGCTGTATCCTGAGTATGTTATTTTTTATATTATATGTATTTGCATCTAGTGTATTATGAAACGAACATATATATATGGCTTCGTCCTGAAGATTTTCTAAATGACAAATGTGGCGTCTATCATGTGGGGAATCCGACTTTATCTATAAAAGAATTTGCGTCCGTAGCTGCTCACAGCTGCTAACTTTTCCAATGGTTTTAAATAGTTTGTAAAAAACCTATCACTAGTGACAGGTTTGGTGATCAAACACACTTAGTGATGAAGTTACAAAGTAAGCCAAGAACTTATCCTACTTTGTGTCGAAAAGTAAGTCGACTAGTAAAAGTTAGTTTGATAAACAGGTCACAATCGAGATGTACTAAGTAATCTCAAAGTAGCTGATTTTCTGAAATCAAACTTTGAAGCTCAGCTGGGTACTTCTGACACCAAATCTGCATCGGTTTAAAACGACACTGACCAGACTGTAAACAAAAAAAAATACCTTTTCCACATCCTCATCACACGGATAAAAGTATCCGAAAAACTGTCCAGGCAAGTCCCCTGGCTGCGAAGACCTGAGACCGGTAGTCCTAAAGAGTTGCGTTGAAGCACTCGCGAAATTACCTTACGGTATATTCAACCTTACACTAGAGTTATGCGGGCTCACGGAAGAGTGGAAGTGCTCCATCTTACTACCCATTTTCAAAGGAGACAAGGATTGTCTTCTATTCTGTTCAAATTATTGGAAGGCCTGATAGAAGACGAGGTCTAGGAATTCTTTAACATGGAAACACAGGTCATGCTGCTCAGCGTGACTTTCGCCGTGGTCGTCCATGTACCACCAACTTGTTGATTGTCGGAGACGACTGGACTTTTAGCTGAGACACCAGGAAACCAGTTCATATAATTGTTATCTACCCAGCTAAAAGATTGGACATTGTCCCGCATGCAATCTTACTCCACGAGATCGCGTCACTGGGCATAAGCTAACCTTTTATTTCTTGATTTAAAGCGTACCTAGAAGACAGACATTTCAGCACAAAGTGAACAGAATGTGGTTGAAGTGATCATCAACATTAAGGTATCCCAGGTAGCAGTCCTAGTGCTATTTCTGTTCCCGCTATTTATCAACGATCTCTCACAAAAAGCTGCCGCACCCGTCTTTCCTTTTGCTGACGACATCAAAATTTGGAAAGTGGTAGACGAAGGGGCCGACTGTAGTGCACCCCAAAATGACCTGCAACAACTAGGACTGTGTTCATCGATAAACGGTCTGAACTTCAACCTGCATAACTGCACATTATTGTCCACTCCTCTTTGATAACTAACCCCACACTATCTACCTTTATCTTTCCGAAACCTCTCTTATGCCTTTCCTAACTATCCTACTAATCTTATTCAGATACCTATATAGACAAGAGTCGTGAAAGACCCCTAATCTTCCCAGCAACTCGCAGCTTCCTAACCAACTCAACCTACAAATACAAACCCACAAAAACATTCACCTCATTATAACTAAAAGCAGGAGAGCGGAGGATTTCCCTTCTCACAACAGGAGGAAACTAAACAACAACACCAAGCCCCGGGAAATAAACGCAAAAAATCAAAAACTATAGGCTTTCTATGCTTGCAGTACTGATGTTGGATCATGATTTTTCAAGTCAATAAATCTATTCTTTCTGGTGACGGAAGGGTTTCCATATTTGATAAGTGTTTGAGGGATTTACTGATACCAAGCCACATACTGACTCAGCAACCAAACAAGATCAACGTGAACTCAATCCAGAGCCATTGCAATAATTTAAAGCGAAAGCCAACGTGTGTTCGAGATGTAGTTTTGCTAATCTTGACCTTTGGTTAAAGCACCGTCAGCTTTATATGAGGTAAAAACTAATGTATAAACTAATGCTGACCTAAAGGTTGTCCAACATTCACGTTGTGTCTGCTCAAAGTTCATTAGTATTGGTTCATTCCATCAACGATATAAGTGAACCTTTTTGCTTTTTTTGCTTACTTCTAAGTGTTTTGAGTGATTCCAAGTCTTATTAGCGTTTCATCCATTGGAAAAAGAGTAGTAGAGGTTTGTCAGAACACTGCATAGAATGTGCAATATGCATTATTCTGTGGTACCTGCTACCTTAATGTGGTCACAATGACCAAGCGAGCTGTTCTGGTGGAACGCTTGTTCGCCTAGGTTCTGCCATACCAGGAAGGTCTGTTGGATAGTGGTTAGACAAAATGAATTTACCACTACACTAAATTATTACGCTATGATCAAGGTACGAGGGCGAAGTCGTACTGCTGGCTGGCTGGGATGTGACAGCAGTGAGGTGTTTCCTTTGGATGACTTACCGTTCCACGCTAATGCTGCTTTCCCAATGAGAAAGAGGGGTTAGAAAAGGTTGGCCCCGAAAATAGCACACTCCTTCTTACTCCATAGTCTTTCGGTGCTGACGGTATGGGTTTTCTTTATCCAGCGTTAGAACAACCAAACCTTAAAACAACAACCCCCAAAAAGCTGTGTGTAACAGGCCTCAAGCAGAGGTCCTTTGGACTCTGCAATCACACAATTTCTCCCCTCTTTCAGATACTTCAGGAAGAAGAAGCCATCCATGGTGTGGGCAGCTGGAAAGTGTCAACCGCCCGGATGCTTGCAGTAGTGAACCCGATCAAATATAACCTAACCTCAGCTAGGTCACCTCCTTACACTAATATTAAGCTCCTTACACCCCCAAACTCTCATTCTGAGACAACTGAAAACGATCAAAGCCATTGAAATTTCATTCCTAGTCTCCCGACACCCGCCATCGATTTTACGTAGGAGTCTTCATCTTCCGAACTCTGCCAAATCGGACAGCAAGCATTGCTCGCCAAAACTCAATCTCTAGCCGTGGATGTGTGTTGTCTCTCTGAGACACGTATACAGGACCCAAGTGTGGTTATTAAGCTGATCTCAATTGGCCATAGTTGTGAATCTACAGAATTCACCTTAAGAGAATCTGAAAACCCAGTGGACTCACTGGTGTAAGCATAGCATTGAGTTGTAGAGCAGAAAGTGCGCTTCTCTGTTGGATGCCAGTAAACAGCCGTTTATGCGCTGTTCAACTGAATGAACCTGTTACAACTAAGGTGCCTATTTATAATTTCCGCCTACACACCCACCGACTGCAGTTGGGATAGTACAAAGGATGATGACTAAGAGAAGCTGTCAGTTTTGCTACAGAAAGCGAAACATTCATATATAGTCATGGTGGCAAGTGACTTTAGCACTGCAGTAGGGAAGCTGGGCCAATCGGAAAAGCATCCTAGGGGGTATTTATGGAATCGCTGTTCAACGAACCGACAACGGCGATCATCTGTTGCAATTTTGTTTCGACAATTACTTGTGTCTAGCCAGCACTGACTTTAAGCATAATGGAGAGACACTGTCTCATGTGGTGTCCGCCCACTTCAAGCCAACGATTGACTCAGATAGATTAGATTATTATGAACCATCGCTGGAGAGGATTGCTGCTCTTTCTGTAGTACCAGTTTGGGCTGCGATCATACGCTGGTACGGGCTTGTGTATGTCTACGCCTTACTAGCCGCAGGCGGCAGTGAAGCCTGTGCTCGATTGAAAGGATGCTAAGTACACATTTAGGGAGGAGTTAGCTAATCATCTATCCGAACGTGACAGCAATGTTCATCCTTTTGGAACCTGGTATAATATTAAGTCTGCTGTAGAGACAGCAGTAAAGACAATTGGTAGCCTACACGCGAAGGCTAGTAAACGCCATTGAATTTCCCCCAACCTCATCCAAACTGAGTGGTAGAAGACTGATTTCAGAGAAAGCAACTTAGACGTGAATTGAACAAGTCTCCGCAATGATGGGTGACGAGAGCGAGAGATGGAGAAGACATCAGCGTTAAATAACACTCAGCAATTATTTAGACTTGTTAAGGATACATGCATCAAGACGATGGTTAGTGAAATCATCACTGAAAAGGATGGGACTCTGGTAACCTCCCAGGACAGGCAGCTAGAACGTTGGGTGGAACACTTTGAAGTACAGTTCAACTGGCCCTCAGCAACGCTTGTTTCCCAACATTCAGTTTGGACCCGAATTGGACGTAGATGTTGGTCCTTCAACTTTCGTCAAAGTTGAGAAGGCTGTATGGAACCTGAAACGATTCAGAGGGGTGGGATCTGACAGTTCACCACTCGAAACTTCCAGGGATGGTGATAGGAGATTGCTAATTAAAGTGACGGAGGTACTGTGTAGTGTATGGGAATGAGAGGTAGTGTCGTCAGGTTCGTGTACTTCACTGATCTAACCAGTCCATAAGAAGGGAGAGAAATCTTGTGACAACTTGACTAGTATTGTGTCCAAAATCCTAGGGTTCATGATTGTCGAACGCCTAGTTGGGTCTCAAGAAGAGCGACCTCAAAAATCAAGGCAGGTTTCAGATCTGGAGTGGGTGCGTGTATCATATTTTTACCCTCCCACAGGTTCTGGAACAGAGGTGTACACCTGCAGGTGGCATTTGACTGTGGACCGTGAGGTGTTGTGGCAGTGTCTGGCTGTGAAGGAAATACTGAGCAAGTACATAATGCTTATGAAAGCTCTCTACTCGAACTCATGCAGCCGTGTAAAGGCTTGTGGAGAGTTGTCATGAGAATTAACAACATATAGTGGTGTCCACCAGAGATGTCCACTGTCATCGTTCCTGTTTAACTTCTCTGTAGACGCACTAATCTACATAACGTGAAGTACGTGTAACTTCACAGGAATTAACCTACTGCTTGTAGGTCATCTGGCTGACTGGTAGTACGCAGACGATATTGTCCTGGTGGATGAAGATGCTGACGCAATGTAGGGTCTTCTGGACGCGTTGAGCAAAAATATGTTATGTTTAGCATGCGTTTCGTTGGCATCTGTCAAGTGTAAGATGATGCTGCAGGACCGGTGTGCAGCAAGTACTCCCAGTTTGATGATCAGGAGTGAAGTGGTGTAGTATGTCAACAACTGCACTTAGGAAGTTACACCAGCTCGAACGGACTAGTTGCTGACGGAATCTCAGCTCAGATATAGAAGGCCCGTTTAGGATATGCTAACTTGCACCATCTGTGGCGCCGGCGAGATATCCGACTACCTATCAAAAGATGAATAAGTATGCTGCGCTGCAGTCCATTCTGTCCTGTTATGCGACCGTGAGACATGACCGTTAAAAGTGGAAGACATGAAGCAATTACAGAGTTTTGATCATAGGTGTTGTCGTAGGATTGCTTGCGTTTGGTGAAATCACCACGTTAGCAATGTTGAGGACCGGTGAAGGGGTACTACGCAAGATAGGGAACTCGATTGATGAGGTTTTGAACCTTCATTGGTTGAGGTGGTTTGGCCACGTGTTGCGCATGACGAGTCACCACCTAATTCGACATCTCATGCTAGAGGAATCTGGATTAGGTTGAAATAGAGTTCAGGGTGGCCAGATCAAGGTACAGCACCATTCGATGATATCTCTGTCTGTCTGAGCCATGTGAAGAAATGTAGATTACCTGCCTGCGGTCCCTGTCACACTAGGAATCAGTGGTTGGGGATTCTAGGTGGTATGGCTTAAAACCGGTCACAATGGCTCAGATGTATTCACTCCCTGACGTCTTCTAAAGCTTGAATATTCGCAATAACCTCTATCTTGAAATTGCTTATTTTGTCACACAACTTTATGTACTTTGATATCCCTTTATTTCTGTTCACCTGTTCTTTGTGTACTACTATAAGGTGCGGCAACTTGAACCAAGGCACTTATATGCGAGGTTCTGTATTGGTTTTCCTGTCAGTCTGTTTAAATATTTTGATATTTCGGTATTGTTACGTAAGTTTCTAAATTCTAAAGCAGTTTGCATTGCTGATACTCAGACCACAAGACTTTATTATTAGCTTCTTCACCGAAAAAGTCTCCCGTATTTCTACCGTTTCTAAAAGTTGAAAGTTTTAGTTCTGTCTCTAGTCGAGAACAAGTAGTTGAGAAGTTAAAGGTGAGAAAATTGGCCGTAGTTATACTAACTAGACTAAGGTTGTCACAGTGTCTTCTGTATGGCTCAAAGCTAACCTAATGTCTATAGAATGACCCAAGGTATCGGAATTTTGTCATGGATAACTGCTAAGTTTCTGTAGGAGTATTTCCACCAAGTTTCTCATCTACATATGTGTATAAACGACGTGTATGTATTGACATGTTTACAGGTATAATATACTTCCTCACAATTGTCACATCCAGGGTGAAGTTTACATCTCTGCTTATCAAACTTAAGTAAGTGACCCACGACCGGAAAACTGGTAAGCTGTAAGTAGTTTCATGGTTCAATCTATTCTTTCTGTTTGTTTTTCCTTTGTTTTGGTATGTTTATTAGCAGGGTTGGTGTTGCATAATTGATGCATAAGGGTTATGATTATAGTAACATGTATTTCTCGTTAAGGTATTTATTCAGCTTGTTAGTTAAAATGTTTAGGATGTTTCTTACTTCTTGGTTGCAAATTTACTTTAAATTCAGTGTATAATTATAATAATGCATCTCAGTAACTACATGCAGATTCATGCACTGGGTTATAGGCCACACCTATTTTATGTTTGCGTATATTTATTAGGTGTTCTGATGCTAGAAATCATGACAGTGGTTAGGAGTGCTGTATCTGAATTAATGAGTCACATCAAATGAATCAGTTGAGCGTAAGGTCAGCTAGTGGCTTACGTAATGCTACTGCGTATGCAAACGTGTGATTTATCGTTTGCCAACTCTGACTTCGAATGGCTATCAAGAACAAAGTGCATCTTCCAATTACAGTTAGTAGATGTATGCATACATATTTGCATGATAACTTATATACCTTTCGGCTCATAAGTTGTAGCTTTTCCACTTAGAACGAAATAAGACATATGGTTGAATGTCCTAAACAGTGTGGTGTTATCTACGAGAAAAACTGAAGTACTCAGTTGCTAATTTAAACCCTGCTTAAAACTGTGTGGTCAGGGATTTAAGTCGCACTCCATCCACCTTGTTTTTGATACAAGTCATCACTGGCCCGAATATAGTAGCTGTAGGTCATAATCTACTGTCAAACAGACGTCTTTACTAAGATTTATTCATTTATTATAAATGGGATGGTTTTGACTAACATCTTGTTACTTTTAATCAAATGTAACATTGCTCTGTATTACAGATTTTCAGTCTTACTATTGAAAATACTCAGTATACATTTACCCCCATTTCAAAGTTGACAAAAATGGTGAAAGCAAACAGACTACATAATTTTGAACTTCTTCAGGAGAAGGTAGCTTGCTACTTTATTGTTTCAGATATAGTGCAAATAGCTTGACAAAGAGACGAATGCATTGGAACAAAAAATGTTAGATGTAAAACCGTGGTATCTGCAAGGTGAAGTTGTTGCTGCTGAACGAAGTGAAAATACTTTACTTGAAGAACACTTCGATGTGCAACGTCATGGTCTTTTCAGTAAGTTATAGAGTCATATTCGTAATTCTGTTAAGAACCGGGTGCTCAAGACGAAGATGTAATCAATAATTATATAATAAAAGCAATAAAAGAAAGAGTAAGAGAAATGTTCAATGATCAGTATTTTTCAGACTTTTGACAGCCCTGTTTTTAAAGTTAAAGAAGTAGAGAAATCATTCAAAGAACTTCCACTCCAAAATGTCGTTCAGAAGTCATTGGTTGAAGAGTACGAATCCTTTCTGCGGCGGAATAAGGTAAGATTTTTGTTTATTGCACATCTTTCATAGATTCTCGAAGAAGATCAAGGAGATCCGAAGAAAAATGCAATTCAAGCTGAAATTTCGGAACTCTTTGATAGTTTGGACAGACTTTCTTCCCTGCATTTTGTACCACACAAGGTAATTGGGATTGTTATTACTTCCATATTAAGATCTGGCTCCTCGTCTTCAACACTAAACTTTCAAACAATGGGTTGTGGGTTCAAACCCTATACCATTTTCTTTGGCCTGAAGTGGGTAGCATCATAAGCCCTCACCCAATAAGTGTACCTCATAACCTAGTAGTTAAACTCGCATCGAGTTGAGTTACACTGACATTATTTAAGAATTTGAGTTATTATACCTCATTTACTCTTGATTGAAAACCGATTACCTACGCTAATTAGTTACAATATCATTGTTGTGATATAATAAACTGGTGATCTTTACATTTGATATCTACCCTCTCTTTCAGTACATACCTGAAGCCGCTTCTGCCAAAAATGATGCAGCTTCGAAATTGGAAGAGCTTGGACCAACGGTTACCTCAACTGCTGATATGTTGGCTCCAGAGGAGATTTGTCCACCGAGAGGTGAAGTGATCATAGGTAAAAACGAACGTACGCTTGCTGATCGTCGGCGACACCGTCGAAAACTGATGAGGATAAGGTCGAAGCATCTTAACCCTGCTAAGAAGGGAAAATTAGATGATAGACAAATAGCCATGGCTAAGATAACGAAATTGGCACATCGTCCCAACTCTAATATCAAGATTGTAAAGTGAAAACAAGCTATTTCATTCTGCATTATCAGAATGTGTATTTTCAATAAACTTATGTACACTGATCTGAATATGTTTACCTCTTACTGTCGTGTTTCACAGGGTAAATTTTAGGGTTCATAAAATTGGCACTTCAAACTAATTCTCATCCCATACATCTTTGTCGATCTTTTTCTTCCAACTTGTTCTTTGTAATATGCTACTATGGCAGCTTGAACTGATGTACTTCTGTGCGAGTTTGTACATTGATTTTTTTCTGTCTGCATCCCAAACATTCTCAAACTACCAATCAAGGTGTTTAGAAGACTAGATCTTCTCAGAGTTTTCCTCTGGTAGGATAATGTCATATACTTACTCTGGATCTATTTAAGTGTCTTCATTGATAAGGTGGATGGACGAGAGGGAGACCTTCGTGAGTCTGTGAAAAGTTAAGTAAGAACAGATATGATGAACATCGTCCAATATGCACAACCCATCTGATACTTCACTCTCGGTTCTGATACACCTACAGGTGTTCGAACATAGAGCCTTCAACAGTATAAAGTAATTACCAAGTCCTCCTTTCAGTGGAAGACGCTATCATAAGACTCTGAAATCGACGTAGCCAAATGCTGCTTTCAAGTCGAGAAACATGGCTGTTTTCGAGTGCCAGTACTTAGCTGTGCTCCGAAACTTGGAGGTTGAATATCTGGTCGATATACTGCTGGTCAGGTTTGAGATCCGCCTGGTTATTCCGGGTTTTCTGTTCCTGAGCTTCACTTAGGCGTCTTATGACTATAGAACCTAGAATCTTAAATACTATATTAGTGAGACTGCTTCTCCTGGGGTTATCATAAGATTTCTCCTTTTTTGTAAATTGGGACAGTCAGCGATTGGATGGGGTCATATCTGATTCTCATATAACAGCTGACCCTCCAATTAACCTTGCCAGTAATCCTCGACCATTATCCTTAGACACTTTTGGTAATGTCCCGTCCAGCCATATTGCACGCCTTCGTTTCAGGTCTCTCAACTTCTGAAAGAGTTGGATGCTCTACCTCAACGTTCCACTCAGGATCCGACTGCATAGGGGACAACCAAAGACTTGAAGTTTCCCACCTATCGTTCCAATCGTCTCCCCTGCAAACGAATCACCAACCACCCTCCTGCACCATAGTCTCACTAACCATTGGTCTTTTCACTCCAGTTTCCTTGATAAATCTAAATAACTGTCTACTGTTACCTATTGTAGAGGCCAATCTATCTCTTTAGCCTTCGCCACTCACAACTGCTTGAACTCATTGCTGAGACTTTTTGTCTGTCCATACTTGAGTTACTTCTGTTCTTCATTGTGCTCGGAGCCTGTATGAGTGTGTCCATGTGCATCCCTTAATTGAGAAGCAGCTGAGGTCCACTCTCGGAGCCGACTACCGTCTTCAATACTGTCTTTACAGCAGACTGAAGATGATGCCATGCTTTTTCGAGATGAGTGACGTTGTTCCGTTCTGAAAAATTTCAGGTCATTTTATCACTGAAAGCAGCTCCAATATTCTCATCGTTAGGCTGGACTCGCGATGATCTTGTCTCTGTATTTTTTTCTACCTCAATTTAAGTGCACACATACATATGTTTGAACCAACACGTAATCACTGTCAAACACATGCTCCGGAGGGAGTGGTAGTCTTTCACCGACCTCGAGATTAATGATGGCAGTAGAGTCAATGTGTCCACCGCTTAGTTGAGGTCGCTGGACACTACGTCAGACAACATCTCTGTTTTTCTGAGCAGAGTTGTATTAGGTGATCGCCGTTATCCGTTCGTTCGGTTGAGACTCCGAAGGTACCACCCAATTACCTTTCTGTCTGACAGCCTACTCACTTGTGCACTGAGATCATCTGTTAAGACAACCATATCTGAGCATTTGGCTTTTAGAAGGGGGATAGACAGTTTTCGGTAGGCCTCTTGCCTCACTTCATTCAAGCTGCAGTCATTACACTGAGACACCGGTGAGTTTCACCATTCCTTTTAGATCTACCTGTGCCGTTCATTTGAACAATGAACAGACCACTGTTATCCAGTCAACTGGTGCGCTTTATCTTAGCACTTAATTTTTTAACTACAATTGCAATACAGTGAGGACTAACTACTGAATTTCCAGAAAAAGTGAATTTTGTAAATTCACCACATTACCTGAGTGAGGTTAAGTGAATAACCATACTTAAGTCCTGTATATATGTCTCACAAACACATGACCTGAGATGCCAAACTTTTGAATAGCGAAGCTAGTTAACCAATCTAACGAAAAATGTGCACATTAAAAGCTTCAATGTGCAGTTCAGAGTGCGATCTCAAGCAACTGATGATGCTACTCCTTGAACTGGAGCCAGTATCGAGACGTAGAAGAAAGTAAAGATGAGGTAGGAATTTTGACCCAAAGACGTAAGCACAGATTAAAAGGCAAAATACATTGAAGGTTGATGATGATGTGCAGGGAGTTGAGTGGTTATAGGGTTATGAGAGGGGTTGATACTTCCCGGTTGCCCACAGTGTGAAAAGTTGCTTCGTCTTGAGGCACCTGAAAAAAAATTGAGTTAGTAACTGTGGTGCTTAACTGCAGAGCCCAAAAGATATTTACTTGAGGTCGGTCTCACGCGGTTTTTTCGAAAGTTTGAGATTGAAGTTTTTTTTTGTTTTGAACTCAGTTGAATATTCATGCAGCCAGCACTGAAAGACCGCAGAGCAGGAGGGGGTGATCGAGATCGGCCCTTTTTCCATAGGGAAGGCAGAATCACCATGTTGCTGCTAGTCATCCATGAGAAACATCTTACTGCTGTCATACTACCGTCCAGTCAGTAGTGCAACTTCACCCTTGAACTCCTATCATAGCGTAGTAATTAGCACTATGACAGTAACTGCTTTTTTTCTTATCACTACCCACGAGACCTCTCTGGTATGGTAAGACCTCAAAGCAACAAACGTTCCGACAGTATGAGCCGTTGGATCACTGTGCTATACAAGCCCGACCACCACGTCCGGGTAGCAGCTTTCGATTGGGGAATGGAAGAGATACTAACATACTGTAAGGTTCAATAGATTCATCACAATTCACATAAAGAATAACTTCGCGTGAACTATGGGGGGAAACATACTGTTTGATGCCAAACATTTTCTACATCCCAGTTATATTATTCGGATAAAATATTCGCACACTCCTATTTCTTAGCATAGTTCTACTGGATTACTCCGAACCCTTTAGATTAAGACGCAACATTTACAAATTAATCGTGTTTCTATAGTTAAAAACAAAATAGGCAGTTATACATTAATCATATCAACACATTATATTTTATTAACAGTAGAAGGAACACGAAACCATTCACTGTAGTTAAGGCAAGGCGTTGTAGAGGACATTGCTTTGAGAAATAGTATACACCTGCGAGCAGCATCTTTACGTGAACTTGCTAGATCTGATGATAATTGACTTTTGATTACATGTGGTGGCAGCGTAGAAAGTTCAGCAAAACAGTAAATCATCCCTGTAAAAATACATTACACACTTTTAAATGAACAATCTTAAGGTTTTAATCATTCAACGCCTAATATTTTGAAAATTTATGCGTCCGACCTGCTGTTCAGTAAGCTTTGCTCCTGATAAGACACAAATTGGTTGATAAATGTGAGTACACTTCTTACCTATTTATGTGGCACTTGAAACGAGACATTAGGCTTGCAAGCCAGCCGGCAGGTTGCTGTAACTCCTACTTTTAACGGACACTCAAATCTTTGACGTCTCAGCATTACAAACCAAGGCAATAAACTTCAGTCATTAAAATCTCGCATACTGATGTTGTGTTTCTGAAACATACGTGCAAGTGCATAGAATCTTCATTTCACAGAACTGAAACATGGTATCCTGCATAACAGTGGGAGCTTCATGAATACACCAATTAACTGGAAGTCTACCAAAACCGAGCTGTATAAATAGTTCCTTTCTATTTGTTAGAAAACTTGCGATATCGTCTGGATATACAGGGGAGTTTCGTATTCACAGAAACCAGACTTTTATCCAAATAAGTATGGAGAATAGCGTCGAATTACCCCAACACTATGAAGTAGTTTAAAAGCTTTTGATCATTGTCTTGGGATAAAAACCCATATTACTTAGTAGATACTGAACAGTCATCTCCATATTATTTGCGCACTACTCTGAATTGTTAATCTGATAGCATAACACTAGTCGATGAAGCACTTCAATGCCCTTTGTCTAAGTAGTACGAAGATTAAACACAAGACTAATGAATACACTGGTAATAAACAAGCAATACACTGTAGGAAATTTTGATGTACTACCATTCAATCTAGTTCACCTAACTCAACCTAACTAACTAGGTAGTACCATATGGCCTTACAGCAAATATCACTCACCTTAGTAGATAAACTTGTCCTAGTTTACTGAGTTGCATTGAAATAGGTTCATAAAAAAATATACGACCTGGTGCAACTGCCTATGGTTTAAATTGCCACACTTGACTCGGAGATGTGAAGAAATACGAATGGAATTAATCATAGTACGTACCAAGCAGCAGACAGAAAGAATATAGTAAGAAAGACAGCACGAGGTACAGTTCGATATTTTTATATCAACTAAGGTTGCATCCCCGGCTTTCAGTAGGAGGCCAGGATTTCCCTTCACAACTCTAAGCAACAGTCGGAGTTTTTTTCATACTGCTGCTTTAGTCAACATAGCGTTACTGAGTAGGTGGCAGCCAGATATATGTAGCAGTGTTAACCACTTCAGACGGTGAAAATTAGTAACCTTATCAACCATTTAACCTGTAAGCATGACTCCAATACTATCAACTAAGCAGCTCTTAGAAACGCGAGCAATGTTTCAAAAGCACCAATGGGTCTAATACTTTTTATATCTGCTCCGTTTGAAGACCACATTTTAAAGCAACATCTCTAGGATTACAGGTTGGCGAGAAATAAACAACTTCTGGGCACCTGTGGCTAGATTCGGCCATTCAATATCTTACCTAGATCAATTTGCCTTTCTCTTACCTAATGGGCGTACTCAAACAATTCGTTGCTTTTGCCTTACTGACTTACTCAATGGGATAGGAGTTCGGAACCTGATTCAATTAAAATGACTTCGGCGGCCACAGAAGTGACTTATAACTTGGTGTATAAACTTGTACATAATTACTGAATTTCAATAGTTACTACTTATTATACTATTTACTGTAAGACGGGACACTGATGGGGACTGACTCTGAGGAAACAATATTTAGGAGGTAAGAAACGCATTGCAGGGTATAGTGAGTGAATTCCGGACTTTCATGAATGTCTTCAGCATGATTTAGATCTAATCAGAAAACAAGATCGATCTCTAAGTTGCTTCATCCGGAAGCTTACATAATAGAGTTAACGCTGCCGTCGAACATTACTGAAATTAGTAACGTCAGATAATGGCTCATTATAAGTTGCATATAGCAATGTTTTAGCAGAGGACATTCAGTAGACTGATGTACTTGATAGGCGACTTTACCACTGAAAAATACTGCCACACTACTTGTTAATAGACAGCACCAAACGCAGCTTCCTAATTAAACGGAACGACTACAAGCGGATAGAGATAAACGTTCCTGTTACAAAATCTTTTGAAAAGTCGGTACACCTGTGATTATCTGAGATCCGTTAGCTCAGGTGTAACTTACTGTTAAACACTGGTGATTTGAACCTATCTATAAGTTTATCGTTGTGAGATTCTGAAAGTACATCTGGAGGATATTTCCACCTGTCTTTAAGGCATTAGCTTACTGGGACTTGAGTAATTTTATGGAAGGTGGAATTAAGGAGCTCTGAATAATGATTTAAAGCATAGTTTAAGGAAACTAAAGCATGAGGAGCAGCCACAAGGTCTACAGTAGTTATATATTGAATGGAAGAGTTAATAAAACAAATGAAAGTTTGGGAAACAACGAACAATAGGGAAAACGAATAGCAGCAGGGGTTCAAGTGATTTTTAAAGTATGGCGTAACCTACACTCTCTAGCTGCCCGCAACATGGATGGTTACTTTCCCTCAAAGCATCTCTAAAAGAAAGTAAGTTAGTAGAAGGGGTTGTCGTTATTTAGAAGTGTAGTCGCAGAGCTCTGGTGGTATATGTTGGATGGCAGTTTTATAAAACTTTTACAGAGATATTCCACTTAGATTTTACTTGATTGACTCAAATTTGAAGAGCTAACCGCAATCGCCAGGAATTTGTGGGGGAAGAGGTGCGCTATTTAAAGACCATATTTCTCAAACACATCTCAGTAGTGATATGACATCGTTAAAAATGTTGGGTTTACTTTTCAAAATATCATATCACATTACACTTAGCAGCATAGCATTGTCCTTAAACTTGCGATTAGCTACTTTAGGTTCTACTACTTCTGAAATGACTTTTCTCGCATGGTAGGACTCATGTTGATAAAGTTTCCAGTCATGAATTAAAATGAATTCCTATGACGGGTGGGAGAAAGAAATATATAGAATTTGGTGAAGTATATTTGAGTCGATTATGGTATCTATTTTTCGAGACAATTCACTTAGAAGTCATCTTACAACATTATTTTGCAACTATTTCTACAAATCGTATCAAATGAATCACATTAACTCGGTGCACAAGTTTTTCTACACAATCCAGTCCACTATTGGTCAGGATATGTTTAAACGCATTTACGCACACTCTCCTGACTCATTGATTATTGTTTCATGACTTGTCACTGAAGAGCAATAATCAATCGACTGTAAATTATTTCCCTCCTTTAATGTTTTTAATACTTTCGTATATAGATCACGTATGTTATTCACTTGTACAAGCGCATTCGCTGTGAATTTAAGTCTAAAGATTGCTAGTAAAAGGGTTCCAAATATCTCGTCTTCTGTTCAGTCAAGTCACTGACTTATCGACACAGGAAGAGCTTTGGCAAGTGCGGCTATATTCAGGGTCAGGCTTATAAATTTATACATTTGCAGTTATTAGTGTCAATCACGCAGAGCAGTTGTGTAAGTCTATTGCTTTCGTAACATGGACTTTTAAGATAAACAAACTCAAATCCAGCTAATAACGTTGTACATCTATATGATTTAGTTTGGCTGAAACATATATAACACATGCTGAGCTACATATAACCCATTACGCAGTGTTAGTTAGAGTAGGATTACATTTTTGTTAAGTCAATGGTAGTCGAACTGGAACAAGAAGTATAGTAGTAAAATAGATAAAATTAAATGAGCGAACTACCATGCTACATTATCGAAGAATGTTTAAATTACCTTGTTCATTTTCCGACACGTATGTATATACGACCGTGATTTTCGCACACTCGCAAATTCCCTCAAGATATTCACAAGGGTTATCCATCTTATCCGTAATATCCATTGGTGGGACTCTAACTTTATTACCTTTAGCGTTCCATAAACCACGAAGAGCTTTTGAAGAAATGCGTGCAGAAGCTTCATTCTCTAATTTATTTTCTTTTAGGCTGGTTTGATCCTGTTTGTCAAGCTATAATCTATTAAAATAAAAGCACCTGTTACTTACTAAAGAAAGAGTTTCCTCTTCCATGTAGTCCAGAGCTTCTTGTGGTATAGTTAAGTTGTTCTTGGTAATGTTCCCCAAAAGTCCATATGCAGCGCGCCGTTTAGCAGCTTTTTTTGAATTTCCAAATCCTGCAAATCGCTGATATAAAACTCTTAAAATTTACCAGTATGAGTCCATTTCCACAACCTAACTTTGCAACTATACTCATTACCTGATGGGATAGATTGTGGGATAGTTAGAAATTCGTAGGATGGCGGAGGCCAAATTTTTCTTTGACATAACTCTTGTAGCTGTCCAACAAAGTTACCTTCTTCTTCTTGTTTTATTTTATTTGGTATACCATCCAATTCTACATCATCAATAGAATCCATGAAGTCAGATCCCAAAACGTTAGCTGCAGCAATATGTATGTCTCGAAGAGTATATCTCTCCGATTCCGTCAAAAGTCGACTATTTAGCATTTTCAACAAAATCAGATATGATGCCTGATGTTTGGCTCTTTTTTTGCTTGCCCCTAGTTAAGAAAGTAAGCAGTTGGGCAAACCTAAATTACCTTTTGAAGTGGCACTAAAGGGACCAGCCGTACATAAAAATACGTAAAGTGGCTCATGGATTCGTCCTTCACTCGACACAAGTTCATAGATAGGAGTTATACCTTTTTTAACACAAACTTCTTGCAAAATACTTATTGGAGTCCGGTGTGTTGCTATCCCAGACATTTAAGCAATCACTGAATTGGGTTTGTAAGTTAACTGGTTGGTCTAAAAATAGGAAGTTCGATCAGTAACAATTTTTTTAACATTGGAAACTTCATGATTTGCTCAAGATTATGCCTGAAGATATGCAGAAACACTGCCTATTTTCAGTAACATTTACATCGGATAACGAATGATTTCTTTGCTGCTTGCTAGTTGAAAATATATTAGTTGGCTACTAACACAATTAGGTGGCGAAATAAAAAATAGCACTAATTAATGAAGGCTAACTGGTGTCACAGTGTTGAGGTCTGAGGAGCACAAGTAAAGACTGAGACCTGAATCAAGATCAGTTATATTGCCTTTGGAAATGCATCCACACCTTGTCTTCTTCTAAAGTAGACATCTTTTAAAATTCTGTTCTGTTTACTTGTTGCATGTTATTCTACGTTAGTTGGTTGAGGGTGATCGGCAGGAAGCTGTAGAGCTAGGTTTTTCGCTCGTTGGCACCCGTCAGCACTTACTCTACCCTTTCCTTGATTTCACCTTTAAATGGAGCTACAACTTTCACTACCGACGCCGATATGCAATCATGCCATATGCTGAATTGCTATTGCCTTTTGACTGACTTACTAGTGTCAGAAATATTGCGGATAACGTCATGAATACACTATCTACAGTGGTCATGCAAAAATAATTATGGAGTACATGAGCCAACCTCTACCAAACTCGGTATGCTTGGCTAACGAGCTGCAATGACCCATCTACATTTAGTGGTAGTTATAGAGAAACAGATGGACAGAAATAATCAACACAACACAATAAAACAACGTATTGGTTCATGTTGCCAAATAGCACATCTGTATGTCAAGGTGAAGTCAACAACAGGAAATGCGAAACCTAAAATGAAAGCATATAAGCAGTGGTAAAACAAACCAGAAGGTGAACGAAAACGTATATCGTTATGAAACTTTCAAAATTTAAGAGATAAGGAGTGGGACACTCAGGATACTGGCATTACTTTGTGCAACATTACCTAAAGATTTTCAACATTGATTTTGGCTGTATGGAAGGTCACAATCAGGAGACCTACGATTTCCTACACAGCTGTTCCAACCACCTCAGTTGAAGGTTCACAGACTCATTAACTGGCTTGTCTCAACGCTGCTGATATAATGGTTCCACAACAGGCAGTGTTTCGAAGACAACTTTAGTCAATTAAATATACTTATAATAGTACCTAAACGATTTCTGTAACCATGTCCTGGTGGTCGGGCATGCCGATCACAATAACCAGACGAACTACAACAACTGGAAAGCTTCTTCTCTGAGGTTCTACTATGCCAGAAAGATCTGTTGGATAGTGGAAGGACGAAAATAAGTTATCGTTATGGTGCAAATTGTTACGCTTTGATAAGGTCCCGAGGGTGAAGTTGTACTGTTGGCTTGACCGAGTTGGGGTAGCAGTAATTTGTTTCTCGTAAATGAACATAAATAGCATGTTGCTTTTACCTTCTTTATGATAAACGGGGTGCTAAAAAAGATCGGCCCCAAAAGCAGAACATTCCCTCCTGTCCTGTGCCAGTGGTGTTTGTTAGAACAACCATATCTCAAACGAACAGACCTCGAGAAGCTGTGAGCTACGGGCCTCAGCCAGATGTCATATGAGCTCTGTGGCTACACAAATCTTTTCACTTTAATGTACCCAGCAGAAAAAGCTTTCGTGATTTGAAGAGCTGGGAAGTGTCAACCGTTCGCACGCTTTTAGTAGTACGTAAGACTCAATCAAACATAACCTAACCTCCTCAATTTCACCCCCTCCTTTGCATTCACCTCTTAAACCTTTCTCAACCTCTCCCTCTGAGACCATTGAAACTTTATTCCTAGTCTCCCGACACCTCGCCGTTGATTTCACGTAGGAGCTTTCAACTCTCAAACCCTCCCAAGTGGGACAGTAAGCATTGCACGTCAAAACTCTGGAATCTCTAGCCATGGATGTATGCTCTGTATGTGAGACACGTATACAGGACCCAAGTGTGGTTATTAAATTGATCTCATCTGACCACTGCGGTGAATCTTCAAAATCCAACTTACGTATATTGGGAGACGAGGTGGTTAGCTCTTTTGGACTCGCTGGTATAGACACATCACTAGATTCTCCAGCAAAAAGCTTAGTTCTAGAATGGATGCCAGTCATTAGCCACCTGTGCGCCGTTCAACTGAATAGATATGTAAGAACTGGAGAGGATTATAAAACTCGTCGATACCTATTCCCAATCTCCGACTGCGTGCCAATCCACTGCAATTCAGACAATGCGAAACATGAGTTTTATTAATAGCTGTCAATTTCACTGCACAGAACAAAACGTTTAGATATAGTTAAGGTAGCGGGAGGGAAACGGAACGAATCAGGAAGGCATCTTGGATAAATCTACAAAATCCCATACCAACGGACTGACGACGCTGATCGCCTGTTTTAATTTTGTCCTGACAATCATTTGCTGCTGACCAGCACAACAGACACAAAGAAAAATGCTGTCCGACTTGTTGTTCACCGACACCAAACAATTGGTGAACATAGATAAATCATACTTCTATCAGCTATCGTTAGAGTATCGTTTTTTATTTCAGAGTACACGTGTTATAACGCATAACGGACTATAGTACGTGTACGTTTACTTTTGGGCTCCAACTGGTTCGGCAAACAGAGCAGTGAAGTCTGTGCACGTGATTGGAAGACCATCCTAGAGAATACTAATACAATCAGTGTCAACCCAAATAATGACAGTGCATACAACAGTTTATAATTACAGTCAAAAATGACCCAGTCAGCAAGTTCTTCGAGCCAAACAGGGCGACGTTGGACCATGTATTTGATGTGGGGTCAGATGTAGTGCATATGGGACCAAACGTTGGGCCACTGTTTTAGTCCTGTTAAACTGCCGATGGGGTTGGTTGCAGGGCCAACAATATGCATAGGGACAGACGTCGCAGCCATCATTTGCTTCGGGCGCATATTGTAGGTTTTGGGCGAAAACGCGAAAAGTTTACTTCAGGCGCAGATAGGGAGACGCACGATATTCCCCGAAGTTTTCAAACATTTTCCCAGAAACTGTCAAAAGTTCCAAAGTGAACTCACACTGCATGCAACGCATCCAAAGTTCACAAAGTGTAGGTAGTGGGCCCTTAGTTTTGGAATAACCTATATTCACAGTTCTGAGAGGCCATATTTGGTAATATTAGTATATACATCATTCTCGTTTCATTGCCGCATGTGTTTGTGTATTACAAATCAATGAAATGGAAACAGCCAATGGGAATGATTAGAAAATGTAGGGGACACTCGAAATTTGGTAAGTGTTCTCGAAGTTGCTTCGGGCTAAAACCCGAAAGTTTCAAGGTGGGCCCAAAGTAATGTTGGCTGGGGTCGAGCAGTTTGTAGAACCTTATGGCCAGATGTACAGAAAATGTTGCAAAACCCTACATCCAGTACTACATTTGGGCGAACGTTTTTGGTAGTGAGTGGCTCAACATTGCTTTATTTGGCTTGACGAAAAGGCTGACTGGGTGAAAATATCTAATGATTAACAGCTAGTTCATGTGGGTGAGTTATTTGCGAAATTTTCACTCTACTCATCTTGAATGCTTCCTTCAGAATGCATGTGACAACTTACAAAGAATCAGCTGACAACATAAGCACTAATTGCCTTCAATCTTACTTTCACACTAATACACAAAGTAACGCTCATATTCAAAAGGACACGGATATCCAATATCGTTTCATGAAACATCGCTAAATTCATGAGAGAGGGGCGATGAGGAGAGCTTTTATTAAAGTGAGAGAACGTAAATTCAATGGGAAGAGAAGGATAAAATAACATCGTAGGATGGCTTATGGGAATAAAGACAGTAATTCTATCAGTGGGGGGACGGTTACTGGTGGAGCAGTCTTAAGGGAAATATAAGGTCGAGCCAAGTTTGCAGTGATAGTGGTGTCAAAACCTTTTAGGATTTGCCCTGGTGCAAACTCGACAGACAAATCACTAACTATTCGGAGTAGTTATATACCCACGAGTACGAGACCAAGGAAGAACACGATAGCGTAGTGGGATGGAATAGTATATTTGGATGGTTGTGTCAAGATACTGATGCGTTCCAACTAACTGGCTAGAGTCGAATACGAACAGTGCAACGTAACACGACAGCGTGCCAAATGGCGAGGATGCTTGACCGGGTGCCTTCAGCTTAGTGAGTCCAGTTAAACTATCAAGGTCGGCATCAGTGTCGAAAGTCGTCAGACCCTAGGCCATTGATTTTGGGGAAGTGTGTGACGCTACAGATCACTCCTCCTCAGTGGGTTCTTGAGGACGCTAAGATGATACCAGCCGGAAGTATAAACCCAGTGGTTTCTTCACTGGTAAAACTCTTCGAATGGGCTCACTGCGTGAGGTGGCCCCTGGTTGTCTGAACCTTATTCTAGGGTGTCGTGGCAATTAAAAAATAAAATACAATAAATCGAATTGTACGTCGACCGTAATCCTCAGTTTTCTTTGACGTTCAGTCCAGTGCTCGTTGTACATGGAATAAGTGAGTCTTTAATGCCATGAAATTGGGAATTATGTATGTACAAATATACCGCTTATTTTCACCGTTTTTTTAAAAAACGTTTCATTACATGGTAATAAAAAAATTGACGTAAAAGGCGAAATGTACGAGGGTTTGCGCACTGCCGGTAAATAAGAAAAATAGTGCCTCGGAAAAAAATTTGTCAGCAAAAAATGGTTGGCTCATTTTACTTCACACCGCTAAGTTGAATACGACTTCAGATACTCCGGGAACCCGACGGTTCGATCTGATCATGTTTTCTGTTGCGCCGATGGTTGTTGCAGCTGTGCATTACCGGGCACATCGTCAAGAATTTTGGTAATTGAGCTATCCGTCGGTCGGATGTAGCGAGCTGAAACGTCACTTATAATGGGGTTGCCTTCGAAATAAGCTGGTTTCAAACGGCTGATACTGACAGTATCTTCACGTCCGTCTCGCTCAATTATGAAGAATTTCTCGTGTTGTTTGATCACTTTTAATCGCCCGTCGTAGGGTGGTTCAAGTGGTCGATGAACGGCGTCGTGGCGAATAAACACTTGTGACTTCCTTCGTAAACTGGGGTGAACGAAAACATCAGTCGTTTGCGGTCTAACCGGAGAAGGCCTAACTGAACACAATGAGTTTGTAAGCCTATTCATGTAAGATGCCCTGTCGGAAAGATGTTTGAAAGTTGAAGGGGAAACAAACTCACCTGGTAGGCGAAGAGTGGTCCCATAGACGAGTTCTGCAGGAGTGCATCCAGCATCAACTTTCAAGGCGTTACGAATACCTAGTAGGACTAGAGGCAGAGCCTCGGTCCGCTGAGGTATGTTTGCAGCCGAAAGGTAAGCTTTCAGCTGTCGATGGAAACGCTCTACCATGCCATTTGCTTGTGGATGGTAGGCTGTCGTTCGGAACCGGGTGCAGCCTAAAAGTGCCGTTAGAGCGTGAAATAGTCCACACCCAAATTGACGCCCACGGTTGGTTGTGACGTTAGATGGACATCTGAAGTTCGCCATCCATCTTTCTATGAAAACATGAGCTACTGTTTCAGTAGTAATATCCTTGACAGGTACTGCTTCCTGCCATCGCGTGAAACGATCAACACAAGTGAAAAGGTAGGTACATCCATTAGATTCTGGTAGGGGTCCTACAATATCGAAACGCATGTCTGGGGCTAGAAAAGAGCCTAAAGGGCTTTTTGGGTGTCGCGTGACCTTACACTTTTGACAAGCCAAGCACGTCTGAGCCCACTCCTTAACGTCTTTGTTCATCCAGGGCCAGCAGAAACGTTGTGCGATAAGCTTAATGGTGGCTCGTACACCTGGATGGGAGAGTTTGTGCAACGTATTGAAGACGTTGTGTCGACAACTTTTCGGAACTATTGGGCGTGGTTGACTAGCAGAGATATCGCACAAAATTGTATCCTTGTCTGATCCAACCGGACAAAGTCGCAGCTTGAGAGTTGTGGACGACAACTCATGAGGCAGCTCAAGGTCTTCCTTTTGACGCCGAGCTAGTTCAACGAGACCAACGCCCTCGTTTTAGTTTATCGAAGCTATTCGAGATAGTGCGTCGGCTACGGAGTTATTTGCTCCAGAAATGTGGTGGGTGTCTGACGTGAACTGGGAAATGTAATCAAGCTGTCGCGACTCACGCGGGGAGTATTTGTCAGGCGCCGAGCTGAGGGAAAACGTTAACGGTTTGTGGTCTGTGAAAATAATGAAATCACGACCTTCCACAGAATGTCGAAAATGGCGTACAGAACAGTACATAGCTAGAAGTTCCCTACCAAATATACTGCATCTTGTTTCCGCGTCTTGCAGCCGCCTCGAGAAAAAGGCAAACGGTTGCCACTGGTTGTCAGTCAATTGTTGCAAAACTGCTCCAATTACTGAATCAGATGCATCAACAGCAATACTCAAAGGAGCATTGGGGTCGTGATGCATGAGCACGGTTGCATTCGAAATGGCTTCCTTTATCTCTCAATGGGCGAGCACCTTTGTTGCCAATGGTATGCCCAAGAAAGCTGAGTGCTTCAACTCCTATTTCACACTTCTGCAAGTTTACTGTGATGCCATGTTTTTCAGTCTTTCGAATGCGAGGTCCAAATGTTTAAGGTGAGTTTCCTTATCTGGGCTCGCAATTAGGCAGTCATCGATGTAAACATGAACAAAATTCAAACCACGGAAGACATCATCCATAAAGCGTTGGAATGTTTGTGCTGCATTCCGAAGACCAAATGGCATGCGCAGGAATTGGAACAGGCCAAAAGGAGTAATGATGGCTGTTTTCGCGAAATCTTCTGCTGCCATAGGTATCTGGTCGTTGCTATCCTTTTTGGGAACCATGTGCAGTGATGACGTCCAAAGACTGTTTGACGGTTTGATTATGCCCCGTTCGAGCATGTAGTCGAATTCGCTCCTCGCCGTCTTAAGCTTATCGGGGGCCAACGGCGCGCTTTGGATGCCACAGGTGGACTCGTGGTTGTCACGTGATGCATAACATTGCCGGTCATGCACGGAAGAGTCTGCTTCGGTTGCTGTAACTCTGGATATTTCTGCAAAACCGCTTGGTAGAACGCGTCGCCTGATTGTTTGGTTCTTAAGAAAGCTAAACTCGGACCTACATGGGTGGTGCCGCCAATGGATAACTTTTTTGTTATCTATCAGTTATCGACGGCAAGCATCTACGAATAGATCGTAATGGTCTAGCTAATCTATGCCAATGATGGGCATAGAGACGTCAGCCAGGAGGAAAATCAAGTGGATAGGTTTACATAAACCTAAGTTGAGGTGGGCATACTGTCTTCCAAATGTCGCGATTGCCTTGCCGTTGGCGTTTGGAGATTGAAGGATAGGTCATGATGACGCTCCTTTGTCGGTGCGGGAAGAACTCTGACTTCTGCGCCGGTGTCGACGAGGTAGCGAACTTTCGTTTTAATACCCGTGACGTAGAGCAAACGGCTGTTTCTGCCCGCCACGGTTGCCGTGAACACGTGCCGGCGTGACCGCTTCCCGAGTTTGTGTCCTTGTTAAAACTGCATGGTTTCCTACATTTTCTGGTTTCGTCTCCGTAAGTATTATGAAACCAGCACCATTCAGGGTTCTCCACCCTATTAGGTTTAGTTTTGAGGCTACCACGAGAGTTGCTGCGATGCACTAAGATGCGCTTCTGTGGAGTTCTACGTGAACTAGGACTTCGAGGTTGTAGCAACTGTTTAACAGGGTTGCACAGCTTGGTCAGTTCTGAATCCTGGTGCTCTGGTTTGTCGCAGACAGAATATGCGTTGGAGACGGGTCTGCTAGAAGTCTCCAGTATTTTATATGCCTGGGCTGCCAGGTCATCGAGTGGGGCTGACTGCAGTGTCACCAACACGGTTTGCACCGGTTGTGGTAGTTTTGAGAGAAATAGTTCTCGGAAAAGGCCATCGTTGAATGTTCGTGCACCGATTACTTCTCGCATGCGTGCGAGGACTTCAGTAGCTGAGTTGAGGATCTGAGACACCCTGTTCTTGAAAATCGGCCTCGGCATACAGAAACCACGTTTTTGCATTGTCTGGCCAATATGGCACGATTTGGATCGTGTTCGTAGTCGGCTTAATACGAATAAGCCCGGGAGTATGGTCGGACGTGAAAAAGAGTAGTAGGTGTATGTATAAATGTTATCCGAATGAAAACGATATACAGATATAAAATGGAACAGGCTCACCAATTCAATATTTATTATTGGTCGGGATATGTGATTACGTCGGGATATTTTATCACGTCGAGCTCACCAAATTAGGATTTGTCCTGGTGCAAACTCGACAGACAAATCACTAACTATTCGGAGTAGTTATATACCCACGAGTACGAGACCAAGGAAGAACACGATAGCGTAGTGGGATGGAATAGTATATTTGGATGGTTGTGTCAAGATACTGATGCGTTCCAACTAACTGGCTAGAGTCGAATACGAACAGTGCAACGTAACACGACAGCGTGCCAAATGGCGAGGATGCTTGACCGGGTGCCTTCAGCTTAGTGAGTCCAGTTAAACTATCAAGGTCGGCATCAGTGTCGAAAGTCGTCAGACCTTAGGCCATTGATTTTGGGGAAGTGTGTGACGCTATAACCTATTCTACAGTGGGTTGGCCTTACTGAGTTAGTGGAGGGTGTCAGCCTGGTCGACGGGTTTTCGTCCTCTTG